CCGGCTAACTGACATGTACGACTTAATCATGAGTGTGGTTTTAGAGTGCGTGCATGACTGTGGGTAGGAAGCTGTCAGGCGGGGGAAGCCCGGCGCAGGGCTCCGTGCCATCGCTGTTGACGTTCCCATCCTCGCTAAGCCGTCATCCAGCCAAGGGGGTGGACGGCATCTCGTCCTCAGAGGTCTAGGTGTCGCAGGTGGTATGGCTGCAGGGCTGAGTGCGTCTGACAGCTGTATGATCGCTCTATCCTCTGTGAGATCACATGAAGTAAAGTAAAGAGGTGGAATTAATGGGGGCTGGTTGCCTTCTCCCAGCGGGGCACCTCTTTCTTCACTCTAGAGGGAAGGAAAAAGGGTTAAAAGACACCTTTAGAAGCAGTTTTAGACAGTTTTGAATCAAGGGTGGGGATTGTGTGCAGACTGGGAATAAATAACAACGCATCAAGACTTAAATTCAAAACTCAGGTAAGAACAAACTACAAATTCTTGATAAGTACAAGATTTGTTCAGTGTTTTACAGTGTCTATTGAAAAGAATTCACCACCTTTGGAAGTTTCCCCCTTTCCTCACATTCAAACCTACAAACAATTTAGAATCATCAATTAACCTCAACATGTTTCTGGACCTTGTGGGAGGAAGCCGGAGAACCCGAAGCGAACCCACGCTGCATGAGGAGAACATGCAAACTCCACGCAGAAAGATCCCGGGTGTCCTCACCGGGATGCGAACCGGCGACTTTCTTGCTGCCCTGACAAGAAAATACAAAAAAATAAATAAAATCATTTAATGGTCAAAGGTGCATCTACTAACCCGAAGGGAGTGAATACTTGCGCAGTCACTTATTCTTTAATACATTAATTGGCATTACTTTGTAGAAATGTGTTTTCCCTTTGACACTAAAGACACTTTTTTGTAAGTTCTTGTCCACAAAGCCCAAGTATATTGGCTGTGAATCAATGTTGGAGCGCTATAAAAAGGAGAAACTTCCAAAGGGAGCAAATATTTGAAAACTTTAACTATTCCAGTATTAAATAACACCTATAAATAGCTGCATGATGTAACTACACATAACCTTTGCACAGACTAAAGGACAATGCACTCCAGGTTTTGCATCTGTTTGTGGTTGTTTTGTGTCACTTAAAAGTTGTTTTGCATCTCTTTGTAGCTCTTTTTGCACTGACTCGCATTTCATCACTGACAGCAACAACACACATCACACACTGGGTAGGTGGTGGCAACAGAGGGGTCGTCCTTCAGATTCCTGGGGAAGGATTGAGAAGGAACTGTGCCACCTCTGGCCAGTTCTCCGGAGCCCTTTCCCACCAAAACCCACCGGGACGTTGGGAGCTTATGAGTTTCTCCTGTCATCTCTGACAGGCCCTCATTTGCTTTCATTCAGCGTCTCATCACAGCTTCAAAGACGAGTGGCTCATCTCCCTCAGGGGGGGAGCAAGAAGATCAGTGTGCCTTCAAAAAATGACTGGTATCCAAAAATTGTTGACCCAAGGCAATTTTGCTCCTCATAATTGGCTTCTTCACTCTGTCTGTCTTGGGCAATCATTGCAAAGTTATGATGTATTATACTGCCTGGAAAACATCATTAAGTACATTGTGTAGAAGTGATTCAATAACATATCATTTTCCCCTGATGAGCCAAACAGTGTTATTGCGGGGAGGGGGCAAACTCCAAGTACACTGAGTGCTTTCTTCCTCTACTGAGCAATAACTCTGCTGCCGTGTTGTCTAACCAGGACAGGGAGACTGATCCAGCACTATGCTTTGTTTAGTTCCAACAAGTAGGAAGTATTCACATAACTTTCTAATGTGCATATCTCTACCGCTAATATTTTAGTGGCAGAAATTATTTAGACATTTCTGCACGCGGATCCAAGTCTGCGTTAAAATACACATTTAGCAAAACAATCCATAGCCCACTTGTGCCATGATATGTGATTTTTTTTGTTTTTACTCCACTACATTTATTTCACAGCTGAGTTATTCGATTGCAAATCATCAAGGGCCTTCTGCTCAACCATCTCTGATTTGCTTAAACTTCTTCTTTTTTTTGTTTTTAACAAAAATTGCCCGTTGACTCACTTTCAGCACATTTTTTACACGTTGATATTTGAAGCTATGTTTGATCCACAACTTCTTAAATGTTTATTGATTAGGATTCTGCAAAATTGGACAAGCAGATCAAATAATCTCTGACTATGGTTGAGTTGAATGATGAGAGGTTCAGACTTTTGTCTTTGACAGTTTCTGAAATATTGTCATTGAAACAACCTCAGATTTCAATGTGGCGATTCCACAATAAAATCTTAGAAAGGATTTGATGTATCAAGTTAAAATTTCACAAATATCTTTGATCATATCCATATTTAATGCTATATTTTTTTGGCAAACCAGATGCTTGATCAGAAATTGTTTTCAAAAAGTTACTCTACAGGTTATTTTTTTTATAAGCGTGTGGTGAATTTATGAAATATACATTGTTATACATGAAATGAAAAAGCAGTATGTGAATTTGTTTATGCTGTCTCTGACCTGAGGACACTAAGATAATGGTTTCATGTAAACAAAGTGCTAATAGTATCCCAGTAAAATAGACATTTTTGATAATCTGAGACAAAGCTTGGTGGAAGTGATATTTGGACAGAATCCTAAGTCTGCACTATCATAGTGAGATTTTTATGTCCATGTGATACCTGGGTCAGTCAGACTGGAGTGATCGAGCTCCACACCTGGAGTCTGGATTCCAGTTTGAGCCCGTGGTGCTCAGGTGTGGAGGAAAACCAGTAAGCTCATCTCATCCTTTCCTCAGGGCTGAAACAAAGGACAGACAGAGAGAACCCCACGACCTTCAGAGAGAGAGAGAGAGAGGTAAATGTGCCTCATGTACTGCTCAGAAATGGTTTGAGGGGGGGTTTATTCAACCTTCTCTCTTCTTCTTCTTCTCAACTCTGAGCAACAGGTTAAGGCTGTGCACATCCAGCCTCTGCCCTCAGGATATGTTATGACAACCGAAAACGGTGAACAGCGAGAGCAAGAAGTGGCATGAACAGATCTCAAGGTTTCTGACATGTGGGGGTGGGTGAAAAGGACCTCTGTTGAGAAGTGTCTAGCCTGGAGATACAACCATCAACTCATGTACCATCAGGCCGCCGTGGAAAACTGTCTGGGCCGACTTCTGGTTACTGTGCTGATGGAGGAAAACAAATACAGCTATCAGTGGCAAACAGGAGCTTGTAGCAGCTCACAACACTAATTATGTTAAAGGATGCTTGAGTTTGCTTTGCTTGCTCCTGGACTCATTGATTCTCCCCCCTCCTAAATCGGCAGGCACCACAGTGACGGAGGTTCTGGGGTGAGGTGATTGAGATGTGGTTTTGTTAATGCGCCAGGCAGCGCCCCGGGATGATTTTCCTCCCACTAAATCACCAAGGAGCTATTGTGAAATTTTCACAACTTGTTCTGGGAAATCCAATCATGCCACTTTCACACATTACTTCTTGACAGACAGTCTGTGGCTGGCAAATTCACAAACAATCCATCTCCCTTCTCTGTCATCCTCCCCTCAGTGATTTGTGACCTGCAATCTCACCTCACTATGAAAAGTTTTATATTATTAGTTTTGGTGTCTCTGACTGCAGGCAAGATGGAAGCTTCTGGACGGACAAACAGGAATATTCTGACACCTATCTGTGGAAAAAAACAGAAGATAGCCTAATTAGAGCCAGTCAAGGGGAGATGACAAAAGCTAGCCTCAGGAGATGTTTCTCAGAGTCTTTCCTGTCACATGTCTGCATGTCAACAGATTATACCACACGCTCAGAACTTGTCATAGTAGGCCAAAGGATCTCTGTCAGCTATAACATTTAACAGAATATCAAATGTAATGGAAAATGTAGCCGACAGCCCAGATTTAAATTTAGCAAGTTTAAGTGTATAACCTGAAGTGAATTGTCCTTTGTGGAGTGTTTTGAACCGGGAACGTGCATGACATTAAATGCAAACATCTGGTGTCCTGTTTCACTTCAGTGATGCATCACAGCATTTAGGACCTAAACCCAAGAAAGAAAAATCATAAAATGAAATAAATAACAGAATTAGTGTTGGGTTTCTTAACAGCTTGTCTACACTGATTGATTGAAGCTATCTATATGATAAAATAAGACTGAAATGTTCGACATGGTAATGACATATTACACATGAAATTACAATGCTGCATTTGAAACATGAAACATTACATTGACAATGTTGTACATCACCACGAAACATTGCACATGTAATCAAAATATGGCATATGAAAATGTAATGTTACTCGTGACAGTGAAATTGCACAAACAACTGAGAAAAACAACACTGCAAATGATATTGATATTGTTCAGTTCCACGTGTGCAATGTGTCAGCTGTGATTTCTGCAGAGGAGGGGGATTGACACAGTTTGATGAACACTGTTTTTTTTTTCTTTTAAATTAATAATGCTAAGATATTATATAATATTATTATTAGTATTCACAAAACACTCACAAAGACACCGCCTCGCTCTGTACAGTCGTGGCCAAAAGTTTTGAGAATGACACAAATATTAATTTTCACAAAGTCTGCTGCTTCAGTTTTTATAATGGCAATTTGCATATACTCCAGAATGTTATGAGGAGTGATGAGATCAACTGCAATTAACTGCAAAGTCCCTCTTTGCCTTGAAAATGAACTTAATCTCAAAAAAGACATTTCAGCCCTGCCACAAAAGGACCAGCTGACATCATTTCAGTGATTCTCCCATTAACACGGTGTGGGTGTTGATGAGAACAAGGCTGGAGATCAATCTGTCATGCTGACTGAGTTCGAATAACAGACTGGATGCTTTATAAGGAGGATGGTGCTTGACATCATCGCTCCTCTTCTGTTAATCATGGTTACCTACAAGGAAACACGTGCAGTCATCATTATGATGCACAAAAAGGGCTTAACAGGCAGGTTTATAGCAGCTAGTGAGATTGCACCTCGGTCAACCATCTGTCAGCCAATCAAGAACTTCAAGGAGAGAGGTTCAATTGTTGCAAAAAAGGCTCCAGGGTCCCCCAGAAAGTTCAGCAAGCACCAGGACCTTCTCCTAAAGTTGATTCAGCTGTGGGATTGGGCCACCATCAATGCAGAGCTTGCTCAGGAATGGCAACAGGCAAGTGTGAGTGCATCTGCACGCACAGTGAGGTGAAGACTTTTAGAAGAAGGTCTAGTGTCAAGAAGGGCAGCAAAGAAGTCACTTCTCTCCAGAAAAAAACATCAGGGACAGACTGATATTCTGCAAAAGGTACAGGGATTGGACTGCTGAGGACTGGGGTAACGTCATTTTCTCTGATGAAATCCCTTTCTGATGTTTGGGGCATCTGGAAAAAAGCTTGTTTGGAGAAGACAAGGTGAGCGCTCCCACCAGTCCTGTGTCATGCCAACAGTACAGCATCCTGAGACCATTCATGTGTGGGGTTGCTTCTCAGTCAAGGGAGTGGGCTCACTCACAATTTTGCCTAAAAACACAAATAAAGAATGGTACCAGAACATCCTCCGAAAGCAACTTCTCCCAACCATTGAAGAGCAGTTTGGTGATGAACAATGCCTTTTCCAGCATGGTGGAGCATCTTGCCATAAAGCAAAAGTAATAACTAAATGGCTCAGGGAACAAAACATGAAGATTTTGGGTCCATGGCCAGGAAACTCCCCAGATCTTAATCCCATTGAGAACTTGTGGTCAATCCTCAAGACGTGAGTGGACAAACAAAAACCCACAAATTCTGACAAACTCCAAGCATTGATTATGCAAGAATGGGCTGCCAACAGTCAGGATTTGGTCCAGAAGTTGATTGACAGCATGCCAGGGAGAATTGCAGAGGTCTTGAAAAAGAAGGGTCCACATTGCAAATATTGACTTGTTGCATGAACTCAGTGTAATTGTCAATAAAGGCTTTTGATACTTATGAAATGCTTGTAATTATATTTCAGTATACCATAAAAACATCTGACAAAAACACCTAAAACCCTGAGAGCAGCAGACCTTGNAAACTTGCAGGATTGCGGCCCTCGAGGACCGGAGTTCGAGACCCCTGCTTTAAAAGGAGGATGGTGCTTGACATCATTGCTCCTCTTCTGTTACTCATGGTTACCTACAAGGAAACACGTGCAGTCATCATTATGATGCACAAAAAGGGCTTAACAGGCAGGTTTATAGCAGCTGGTAAGATTGCACCTCGGTCAACCATCTGTCAGACAATCAAGAACTTCAAGGAGAAAGGTTCAATTGTTGCAAAAAAGGCTCCAGGGTCCCCCAGAAAGTTCAGCAAGCACCAGGACCTTCTCCTAAAGTTGATTCAGCTGCGGGATCGGGCCACCATCAGTGCAGAGCTTGCTCAGGAATGGCAACAGGCAAGTGTGAGTGCATCTGCATGCACAGTGAGGTGAAGACTTTTAGAGGAAGGCCTGGTGTCAAGAAGGGCAACAAAGAAGTCACTTCTCTCCAGAAAAAAACCAAGGTACAGGGATTGGACTGCTGAGGACTGGGGTAACGTCATTTTCTCTGATGAAACCCCTTTCTGATTGTTTGGGACATCTGGAAAAAAGCTTGTTTGGAGAAGACAAGGTGAGCGCTACCATCAGTCCTGTGTCATGCCAACAGTAAAGCATCCTGAGACTATTCATGTGTGGGGTTGCTTCTCAGTCAAGGGAGTGGGTTCACTCACAATTTTGCCTAAAAACACAAATAAAGAATGGTACCAGAACATCCTCCGAGAGCAACTTCTCCCAACCACTGAAAAGCAGTTTGGTGATGAACAATGCCTTTTTCAGCATGATGGAGCATCTTGCCATAAAGCAAAAGTAATAACTAAATGGCTCAGGGAACAAAACATAAAGATTTTGGGTCCATGGCCAGGAAACTCCCCAGATCTTAATCCCATTGAGAACTTGCGGTCAATCCTCAAGACGTGAGTGGACAAACAAAAACCCACAAATTCTGACAAACTCCAAGCATTGATTATGCAAGAATGGGCTGCCATCAGTCAGGATTTGGTCCAAAAGTTGATTGACAGCATGCCAGGGAGAATTGCAGAGGTCTTGAAAAAGAAGGGTCAACATTGCAAATATTGACTTGTTGCATGAACTCAGTGTGATTGTCAATAAAAGCTTTTGATACTTATGAAATGCTTGTAATTATATTTCAGTATACCATAAAAACATCTGACAAAAACACCTAAAACCCTGAGAGCAGCAGACCTTGTGAAAATCTAATATTTGTGTCATTCTCAAAACTTTTGGCCACGACCGTACACGGTAAATGATAAGTGAACATCTGAAACTCCATCCTCGGTGTACTAAATGAGAGGCGGAGTGAGCTCTCTTCGTTTCTGCCCTCTCTGCGCACTGACTCCGCGCAGCTTCCGTACACAAAGCTCAGCTGATGACGTGTTCACTTCCCTACCGTTCGCTAGCTCGCTAGCGTAGCAACCTGTCAGAATAAACGTGTTACAACAAAAGTAGTGTGATAAAGTAACGGAACCCACGGGGTTTCATTCAGTCACGGAAAATGGAGACGCTTTATCACCAGACGAACAAGTGAGTGCGCCTGTCTTCTCGTGGAGCCTGTCAGCTACACTCTGTTAGCTAACTTAGCTAACGTGTCTCACTACTTAACCCAGCTAATTACTCGCCTTTTAACTTCAGTTTCAGCTGAAGCAAACAAATATCAACATGCTGTGGTCATTAGTTATGACAATATTTTCATTCACATTCGTAAAAGTGGAAAAAAAAAAACACACACACACACACAAAAGAGTAAAGTTGGTCTTGGTTTCTGTGCTGTAACGTTATGTTTATTCTGGATTAGGCAAATCCAGGAGGTGCAATCTCTGATGGGAAATCTGGAGAAGACAGACCGTCAGTCGGTCCACTGTGAGTAGACAGCTGTCGTGGTTTATTACATTTATTTCATTCACTGCTCTGCATATGAATGCTGTATCAGTGGTGATGGCATAGTCCACTTTCCTTTGAATGGTTTGTAAAACTCTTCTCAGTACAGGCTCCTTGTTATGGCTGCCTGTCACTCCTGTGTATATAATGACAGAGAGGGGGGCTGATTGCTTTCTGGGGATGGTGCCTGCTCCATCAGCTCTGGGCCAGGCTGGTGCCAGGGCAGGAAGCAGTAGGGTGGGTGCAGTGACAGGAGCTGGGAGGGCTTCTACCAGATAATGGTGGGAGCGGGGCAACCCTCCTCCACATCCCCTTCACAGATTATGACATCAGCTATTTTAACCCAGAGGAGGATGTAAGCCTCTGCATTGACTAATTAGAGAGACTCCACTGATGGGTGCCACACTAAGGGATTTTGGTACAGTGTGGCCAGGTACACATCTGCAGTAACCTGGGATTAAGCATGTCTCAGAAAGTGTTAGAAAATCTGACTTTGAACTGCAAGAATCGGTTTATCATTTAGTCAAATAGTTTTAAAAATGTAATTATTCACCCTGGAGGTTGCTGGCTATAACTTCACATTGTTAGAATTTCCCGTTTTTCATGATATAAATAAGTAAACCATTCACTTTTCACTTTGGACTGTTCGTAAATGATGTTAAGCTACTGCTGGTTATAATTGTACCAAATTAACTCTCCCTTTCCCTTTCCCCTAATTTTTTCTTCTTCTTTCTCTCAACTTAAAAGTGTTAGAGAACGAACTACAAGCTAGAATCGACCAGATCTTCAATCATTTAGAACGCCTTGAGATCCTGGCCAACAAGGAACCACCGAACCGCCGCCAGAACGCCAAATTGTGAGTTTGTAGTGCGTCAATTGAGGGTGACTGTAAAGCCCCAAAACTGGTAGGGTGAGCCATATCTCATATAGTTGCAGGCAGGCTGTAGAAGATGAGACAGGCAGCCCTGTCCTGCCCTGTGGCGACGTGGCTCTATGAAAACTTTTCCTCAGAAGCCCCGTCATCACCGGCATTCCTGCTGCATCGGGCAAAGATTCATTTCTGAGCTGGGTAAACAGGCCTTAGGGGACACAGTACACCCCATCCCACAGCACTCCTGTGATCTTAGTAGGTCTCCAGTGGGGCCTGAGTTGAAGCTAAGGAGAGCGGGAGACTGTGAGACACTCTTCATTCCAACTGCCAGAGATTCAAGGGCAAAAGAAATGTTCTCATCATCCAGAGCCACTATGAATGCTTAGAATTGTGTATCAGGCGCAATCAGAAAAAGTATATGAAGAAAGTGAGCAAGACTTTTAAAGAGCTTTTCAATACCACACAGAGGTAATACCCTTTTCATGGTCGTGACACAAAATGACAACCAGTACATACTACAGGGCTTCCGATTATTCATCAAGTACGGGAATTTACTGACTTTTATATCAGTGTAAATTCTCCGTAATTAATACCAAGATGAGTAGCAGAGAACTGACGAATAGATTAACCAATAAGACAGCGCTAGTTCATGTAAGTTTTCATTGACGCTTTGCCATGACGAGAATAAACCTTAAAATTAAGTTATAAGCGAGTACCGTCTCCTGCCAGCTTAAAATCAGATACTAAAATAGCTACAACCAATGTACCTACCACAGCAGGCATGAAAAATGATATAACGTCAATGTAAATGAGTGTAAAGGCTTTTTAATAGAACATTCTCAGGTATTTTTTTATGTAATTGAATCCAGTCTTTTGTATACCTGTTAAAATAAAGAATGTTTTTTGTACTTGCAAAACTAAATAAAGATGTTTTATTCTTTCCCTCAGACGAGTGAACCAGCTTAAATATGATGTTCAGCACCTCCGGACTGCCCTACAAAATTTCCAACACCGACGCTATGCCAGAGAGGCCCAGGAGCTGGAGAGGGAGGAACTCATGAACCGCAAATTCACCACCAATGTGAGTCATGTGTATGTTTGAACAGAGTGGACAGTAAACCACACAAGAGTGATCAAACTTACAGAAACTTACAGATGTGTCAGGCCCGAGCTTAATAATGTAGAATAAAAAATGTTGTTCAACAGGACGCAGATACCACCATCCCCATAGATGAGACCCTACAGTTCCAATCTAACTTGCACAACGCACACAGAGGCATGGACGACCTCCTGGGCAGCGGCACGAACATCCTCAACGGCCTCCGAGATCAGAGATCGACACTGTCGGTACGTGGCAACAGTCGATTTAGCAGAATAAATCTCCATCAGTAGCTGCACAAAGGAAACACTATATAAAGGTGAATTGAATTATAGTTCCTGACCCAGTTTCTGCTGTCCACATCAATCACAATAGTCCTATTGTTAGTCTGCATATGCTCACTGAGAGGGTGAGTCCTTGTTTCCAGGGAGGAGATGGGCTTCCTGGCTTTGCTTCAGGCCTCTTCTTATCAGGGTGTGTCTGTTGATCAGCACTCACAGCCTGGTTGTCTAGCCATGAGAAACTTCTGACGGAGTGGCGCGTCAGGGAGGGTGTTGGCACTCAGCGTCTCCCACAATCAGCGAATTAGTGTGGATAATTACAATGTGGTCGTGTAGTGCCAACGCTGTGTGTATTTACGGCTGCTATAGTCTTAATCTGTCACGTGATTATTGCTGCTGACACCAGTGTGGCTGTTTTGGCTCTGCACAGGGGACCCACAAGAAGATGCTGGATGTGGCCAACATGTTGGGGCTGTCGAACACAGTGATGAGACTTATAGAAAGGCGAGCCACCCAGGATAAGTTCATCATGATCGGAGGCATGCTGCTGACCTGCGTCTTCATGTTCCTGGTGATCAGATACCTGGGCTGACCACCATCCATCCACAATGACGATTTTCAATCAGTCGAGGACATTTCCGCAGCACATCATCCCTCATGATATGAATTTTTAACATTAAAGTAATTTTTATAAATTGTGCCATTATATTCAGCTTTGTTTTATTTTAGGTTGGAGACCTTAATTACAGACAGTATTTTTTCTGATGTTGATCTGATGTTGAACTTTCCTGATCAGCTTTCCTCCAGATACTGCCACACACCCATTTTTATCAAACCACTTCTGTAAAAACTGTAAATCACTCTTGTGACTGTGCCCAAATAGCTTCTTCGAAATACTTCCAATAGCTATTTATACTGAACTTTTTTGAAAAGCTGTTTGTTTTGTTCCTTCAGTTGTCATTAATACTGTCAGTGTCACTATGCCTTGTCCAGCATGGTTCATAGAGAAACAGAAATACTGGTGTGAAAATGTTCATAATGCTGTGTCTCATTACACTGCAACTCCAGAATACTCACAGGAGAATCTTTGGTTTTACGGATCATTTTGTACAGTCCATACCAGCTTAGTAGGTACACCTGGCTGATACGACAAGTCCAATACAAGACGACGACAAAGTGTGACGAACAGGAAAATAAAAAAGCATCAGTATAATGTGGTGCAATTCAGCAGCACGATAAACTACAACCTCTAAATTGTCAAAGAGTTCAATTAACACATCGTAAAAGCACTTTAATAAAAACTGGAAATTCAGATCTTGATGGTTTATTGCAGTATTAGACTATATTAGCAAGCTGTACCTAACAGACTGGGAAATGGCTGTATGTTATACACCCAAGATAAGCAGGATGGCAACAAAGGTCCACTGAGAAATACAATGGAATCAACAGCCCTTTCCTAATGGTTACATGTTCTCTCTTGGGTCTAGTCTCACTGTGCGAGTGATTTCATTCTCCTAACAGAATAAAACATGCATCATTTCCTTTGTAGATCTTCGTCTAATGGTTCTGCTGGTAACAGTAATTGCATTTTTTTGCAGCACTAATAGTAGTTTATGAATTTAAAGGCATGCTACATTCCCCATTATTAGGAGTTTTGTAGGTTTATTGCTCATGCAAGTCTATTCAGTGTGACTAGAGCGCCATCTACTGTTTCATGTTTGACACTGACATCTTCAGTAACCAGGCGAACTTAATGGAAATATGACCAGATCTTCCTTAAAAATGTGCCATCATTCTTGTGGCTTTTAAGTGTTTATATCAAGCAATTTATATTATGGAAAACAACACATGAACTCAATTTTTTATTTGCTGAAACAAGAGTTAAGTTTTTAAAAAATACAGAGTTGCTACTTTTAGACAGATCACCATCGTATGCCATCCCAGCCCAACCTTTGCTGGCAAGATTTAGAAATAACCTTGATAAAATACGCAAGTGTCCATCTTCTGTCCGACTCCTCGTTCTGCTTTTTCCAATAGCAGTCTCAACCCTCTGTGAGTGTTAATAGGTTAATCTACAGCAGTTTTATTTACAAAATTACACAAAAGCCAAACACAACCCTTCTTTTGAAGAGCATCTTGGAAAATAATTTAAAAACAGAAAAATACAATTATTGCAGTATACTACAATCTTATTGTTACATGATGCAAAAGCACCATCTCGATGTACAGATTTCAGTGCAATTCATTCAGACGTACCCTCACCACAGGGAACATAAGCTTTGCCTCAGAATATAAGGGATGCTAAGACCTTCACATCACATTGTTATCCCGTCATTTAGAGATGGCTTCTGATGTGACATTGTCATACCGGCTTGGACACCGTAGCTCTAATTTCCTATGTCCATCGCTAGTGGGATTCTTCACATTACACACTGATATATGTACAAGTTACTGCATTACAAATTATTTTGAGTCCAATAGAGAGCAAGTAGTCATATGAGAACATAAACAATATCAGTAATTATGAAATAGTCCATCTGTGAAAGGTACATTACATAGGTGAAGCAGTTCATCTCTAGAACAATATGAGTTCTTCCTCCTCTCCTAATGTGATCCTGCTTATATTAATTAGCCATTATGTGTCTCTTTGGCTGCCAAAATGAGCAAAAACTGTGACAATAACATTTTTATGTGGAAAACAAATAAACTCCAGTGGTTTCTTAGACTTCTCAGGCTGTTAATCCACCCCAAATTGGAGTATAAGCCAATGTCGAGAGGAAATCTCTTTAACTCTACACCCTGTCTTAAAAATTCAGGGAAAACGTAAAAAAACAAAAACAATCCCACATGAACCAGAAAAAATGTTAGTGTCGATTTTGTACCAAACACAGGCTGCACCACTTTGTGGCTACAACTTGCTGCACTGTGTAGGCCAGTAAAATGGTGGTTTAATTGACAAGATTCCTGCCTCTCTGCCTGCATGTTGTTACAAAGACTTCATCTGAAACCCTAAACCAAGACAGTTCAGGTTAAGTCTTTCTTCCAGTGGCTGGGTGCTGTGAACATTTGAGTTCACTTTCTTCATTACTCAAGAGCCATGGTTAGGTGGGTGCTGGAGGTCCTGCCCTGAGAAGATTGGGTGTAGAAGTGGGTGGAGCTGGAGAGCTGCTGCTGCAGCAGCTTGGGAGGGTCGGGGCGTGAATAGTGTGGGGTAGAGGGCAGTATGTGGGACATGATGGAGAGCTAAGGGGGTGTGGTGAAGTGCAGAAGCAGGGATAATATGTATAGGCTGACCAGAGAGGAAGGCTGTTGGGTGGGCAGGAATCAGCCCAGCATGTCCAAGTGAGTGTCCCAGAGAATGACCGAGGGAGGGGCCCAAAGGAGACAGGGAAATGGGGGTAAGGTGGTGCTGGGGAATGTGATGTACCTGGGCCAGCTGGGCATGTGCAGGATGCGGGTGATGGGGGTGGGCTGGGTGGATGCCCATTGCTGCAGCAGTGGCTGCATGGTGCTGCAGGATGGCATGTTGCACTGTGGTGATTGATGTGCCGGAAGCTACTGACACAGTTGGCTGCTGAATGTGGATCTGCTGTAGGGCTGGTGGAGGTGGAGCGGGAGCTAAGTTGGCAGCTGCGGCAGCAGCGGCTGCAGCCGCAGCGGCTGAAGGAAATGTCTTGACCTGTTTGGCCAATAGCTGTTGCTGGATGTGCTGTTGTGCAGCCTGTTGCAGCTTACTGTATTTCTCCATCTCCTCTGGTGTGAACGTAATAGGCTGACTTTCCAAAGGAGCCAGTCCGTCCTCCTCAGCCTCCATGCCATCCTCCTCCAAGTTGGGTGGTGGGTACCCAGGGTAAGCGTGCATTGGGGGCTGCTGCTGCTGCATTTCAGGCATGAGGGACTCCATCATAGGGTTCTGGGAAGGATCCTGACTGGGTTCTCCTTGGTATTGGGGCATCATCATGGAGGGCTCCTGTTCAAACAATGGCCGGGGTTCTTGGTGCACCTGGTCTTCTGTAGTGGGGTGCTGTGTCTCTTCTTGAATCACTGTGCTCTGTGGGGCCTCCTCAACTTTCTGGACTGGTGGAGCTGGAGGAGGTGGTGGTGGAGGGAACTCCCTTATAGGTTCTACCAGGATAACCTCTCCATCAGCTTCAGAGCCCTTCCCTACCCCTGATTTCTCTCCCTCATCTGGTCTGGTTAGGGGAATCACTGGTTTCTTCCCTGCCTGCAGTTTACCAAAAAGTGGCAACATGGCTTTGTTTCCCAGGGTTGGCGGTAGTTTGGGACCAAAATATCCCTGTGGTGGGTCCTTAATCTTTATTCCAGATTTTGTTCCTGTAGTAGAATCATCAGAGCTTTTTTTAGACTGAACCTTCTCCAGCAGCTGGCGTGCAGTGAGGGTGTGTTTCTGTTCCCCTGCATCTCGAGACCCCCCTGGCCTCAAACCCAGCGAGCTGGATGAATGGGTGTTGCGGTTAAGGCCTCGTGATGAAGAAGAACGTGGAGACTGGGAGCGGTAGATGCGAGAGCGGTTGAAGTCTCTGCGATGTGTGTCACTGTCCCCTCCGCGCCTGGGGCCTCGTCTGTGAGGGGAGCCTTTGTTTGAACTGGAGGAGCGGCTTGCAGAACTGTGGCTACGGCTGTAGCTACGTCTCCAGGATCTTGCACTGGTGCTGCGGCTCCAGCTGCTGGAGCTTCTTGAGCTGCTCCGATGATGTCGCCGATGCCTCTTCCTGCGGCTGTAGCTGCGTGAACGTGAGCGTGAGTCTTCTGACGAAGAAGAGGAGTACTGATGTCTCCGGGATCGTCTACGTCCCCGGCTCCCTCTCCGCTCATATTCAGAGTCTGATGAACGTTTGGAGTGCCTTCGTCTGCGACCTTCTGTGCTGTAGTCACTGTAGCTGTCAGAGTAGCTGCGGCTACGGTGGCTGTAGGCACTGCTGCCCGCTGAGGAGCGCTCAGAGCTGCTGGAATAAGAGCGACTACGGGAGGTTTGGCCTCGATGGCGCCGACGACTGCTGCCTCGTCTGTCCCCCCGCCTTGATGAACGGCTGCAGGACCGACCAGACTCTTCACTATGGTGGCGCCGCTGTTCCCGCGGACTTGACTTGTGATGACGTGAGCGCTGCGCATTAGAGCCCCCTTCTTCCTCACTCTCACTGCTGGGAGGTCTACCAGGACCAGGACTCTTTTGGGCTGAGGTGGAGCAGGAGGCACTTTGAGATGCACTGGAGTCAGTCTTCTGTCTCTTGGTGCTACTGTGCTCCTCGGAGGAGTTGGCCTTGTCTGTACTTTTTCCAGTTCCTCCGTCCTCTGCTCCAGACTTGCAAGGCACTTCCTTAGCAGCACGTTTCCTCTTCCCCAGTTCCACTCCTGTATTTCCTGTCACTCCTCCCCCTCCAGTCGTCAGCTGAACAGAGGAAGCAACAGCTTTATCTTCTGACTTTGGTTTAGCTTTCTCCTTTTCATCGCCTGTTGCCTCGTCTTGGTCTGGAGCCTTGTTTTTGCTCTTCTTCCGTTTATGTTTTTTCTTCTTTTTGGGCTTGTCTTGTATTTCTTCGGGCTCTCCTTCTGCCTCTTCTGCTGCTCCTTTTTCTTTTCCTTTGCGTTTTGAGTGCTTTGCAGATTTCTTATGCTTCTTCTTTTTCTTTTTTTTCTTTGCACTACTGCTGCCAGTTGTGGGCTTTTGCTCATCATTTTCCGACTGGCCAGGCTCTCCCTTCATCACCGCCTTGTCTTTGTCAGTGCTGGTTCCAGGTTTAGTGGCCATATCTACTTCAGCTGGTGAAGCAGCTACCTCTTGTCCCTTGTCATCAAACTCTTCACCAGGCTTAGGGGACTTAGCCAATTTCCCACCACGCACTCCTTTGTTACGGGAGAGCTTGAAGTCAAAGTAGAGGGGATTACAGCTGTAAGACAGGGAGGGCTGAGCTTTTGTAAATTCAAGGAGTTCAGAGGGCCATTGCAGGGTAGTACTCTCATCTTTACTCAGGACTGGGAAGAAGGGACCAGTGGGGATTTTAGGACCAGTGTTTGAGTCCACAGTATCTTGTGTGCACTCTGCATTTTGAGAAGGTGATATGGGTACAGTGGAAGCTGTGTCTGTTGCACATGTAGATGTATCCTCCTCTGGCTTCACTTTAGGTGATGGAGGAGTTGGCTCTGGGTCAGCAGTTGAAGCGACATTATCTTGTTCTTTTTCAGTTTTACACTCGGCATCATTTGTCTCCATCTGTTCAGAACTTTCTTCAGCCTGTTTCTCCTCCTGCGCCTCTTCCTCGTCTTCATCTTCTTTGCTCTGACACTGTTCAGTGGCCTTCATGAACAACAAAAACTGGAAGTGAGGCTTTACCCGACAGTGAGCAGGAGGAACATAGTGGTAGTACTGAGGCTCCTGTCCAGCATATCCTTCCTCCTTTTTCATCATCATCTTCAGTTTGTTGAGAGTGGAGGCCAGGGAGCCTCCATCATCAGGCTGCTGTACCTCTTCTGTCCCTGCCATACCACATCCTTCTGCTCCTTCACCTCCTCCAGATGGTGCCTTAGGGCTATCTGTGCTGCAGCCAGATGTTTCCTCTTGTACTCCAGCCTTTTCTCCTTCCTGGCCCTCCTCTTCCTCCATAGCCTCCTCACCGTGATCAGCAAACACGGCAGCTGCTGTCTCCAGCTTCACCGGAGCTTTCTTGGCGAATGAGAAGGATACACTGACTTTGGATGCACTGCTGGAGGTTGGAGATGAGGAGGTGTTCTTCCCCAGAGAGAAGCTGATAGTTGGGCCAGGCTTTGGGGAGGATTGATCAGTTTTTTCTGGCAGTGATCCTTCCAGGGCACCGTCTGTCAAACCAAGGCTCTCAGGCATCATATTGTCTCCATCTTCTGACTTCTCTCCATCCACAGCCACTGTGGTTGTTTTGAACATGGGTCCACTTCCGGGAGTACTGAAACATAACACAGAAGTATAACTATCAATATGATTCACTTCTGTCTTTATTTTGGAAAATATGGCCTCGAGACAACACTGAGAGTAAATTGTTAAAATTTCAAATCACTAGTTTAGTTTTACCATGTGGTCTTTGTAAAACATATTATACAATGGTGATTCAAAACACAACAGACTTCAGACTGTGGCATCAATATATGTGTTGGTTGCATCCAGCAGAGGGCACTCCAGGAACAAATTCTCACCGGTCTTGCTGTTTCCTCTGCTCAGCCAGCTCATGCAATCGACGCAGCATCTTTTCTTGCTTCTTTCCATCTTTCCGTGAACGGGACGACACATTACGAGCAAACTCTCTCTGTTTAAGCTCTTTAAGCCTCTGCATAACACAAGGGGAAGAGAAACAAAGCCCATCAGGATCTCAGCTCAATTATCACTCCTAAGTTGTACAATCACAACAGATCTGCATGAAAAGTGCAAGACTTGGTAATGAGCAGTACCTGCTTGTGAGCATGGTCATAAGAGTTAATGTGGTTGTCAAACTCCTGGTGCTTTGTGTACTGTTTGTCACAAAGCTCACAGTAGAAATTTGCTCTTAGGTCTTCCAGAGCCTTGGCGATGGCTTTCTCCTTTTCCATCTGGTCCTATTTTTGGTAAGGAAAAAAAAAAAGAGTAATGAGCAGATGCAAAGGTTCAAAGAGCACAGGGAAACAACAACTACTGGACTACATGTAATCTGTTACCCTCTATATTTAAATAAGTTTACTACAGCACCCCTTCTGGTTATAGAACTGGCAAAAATCATCATTAACACAGAAGCTGAAGGACCTCACCTTGTATTTTTGCCGCAGTTCTTCTGTGTCCTCCTTTTCCACTTCAAGCACTCTTCTCTTCTCTGTGGCATCCTCTGCATAGTCCAGCTAGAAACACAGACACAGCAGTTACACCACTTGCAATGACAGTACTCCAAATCCATCTTCAATGCCATTCAAAAGTGTAACACCATGGAGGCAAGCTGTTATGCTGTGGGCACATCTGGCCTATAGGGGCAACAGAGACAGCACATGCAAACTATAAAAATTATGAATGATGTTGCTTGTGCGTTTTCCTCAATATTTTTGATGCTGACTGACTGCTAATTTTTAGAGACACAATGGATCGTTTTCTGTGAGTAGAACTAGTGCTACTAACTTTACCGGTTTGCTGCACCAGTACATGATTGTGACGGCTTGTCTCTCCTCATTTGGTTTATTAAAAACAATTAACTATGGAGTGTTTCTTCATTGGAACACAGGAACACCTGAATGGATTGTTTCACACATCAGACAGGAAGACACTGAATGAGCCAGTACTATTAAAATAGTACTATGAAAGTACTATTTTCAAAAACAATGGCTAGCATAGTTCCCGTGGCCAGATGCCTAATGACCCCTATGCACTGGTACAAATGGAACCACGTTAAATTTGAACTTGCAAACTCTCCACAAAAGGTCACATATGCAACCACTTTAGAGCCATGACATCAACCCAAGCATAAATCCTTTTTAGTGCAGATAAATGATATTCTGACAAACTGTAAAGGTCAAACATTATTTAAACCAGGAACTGATATTCTAAAAATACAAGGAATGCAGACAGAAGATTTTAAGCACCTATATTGGTATTGAGGTACCCAGCATTAGAGTATCATACTTTATATTCTGTTTCTACACTTGTCAGCGTCTATGCAACAAACATGAACACTGAGGCCAGACGCTGATGTTAGGTGGTGCATTAAAATCCATCTCCAAGGTATTTGAAGGGTTGAAGGGGTCAGGGTCAGCACATGGCAGTTAAAATCTTTAATGCCTTGTGCACAGAATCCCTATTATTCACCACACAGTCATTAATGCAGGATCTCTTTAGAACGTCACCATGTATTGTAGCATTGAGACTTCAGCTCAATTGAGTAATGGGACATATGCCATCCACGAATCTTTCTGCACTGATAAATTTGCATCTGACACAAGTCATTTATTTGGCAAGTGTTCTCTTGGCATCTGCTACTTCGTATGTCTTTACTCCTCCACAGTACAATGTTGTGGAGCTGTACACGATTCCAGCTGAAACTTGGTGCTTGGCACTGTGAATGGTGCTCTTAGCCTCATGTGCATTTTTTCTGCCATGTAAACAGATTTGATGCTCCCAATGATTCTTCCAGAGGCTGTCTGGCCATCGGCAGTGAGCATTGCAATACAAGACCGATATTTTAAAAAAAAATATGCGACTTGTTGTTGCCAACTGGCCCATAACGTTGGGGCTAAACGGATGCTTCTCTGACTTATTTCCACTCAGCTGTAACTGCACTCACACCAGTGTCAAAAGAAGTTCAAAGCAAGTTTATCAAAACATCTTAAACTGTTGCTGGACACTGTCTGCAGTGCGTTGGACCATGGAAAATCTAAATGCTTTTGCCTCTACATTAGTTTCCCACTAAATATAAGATGAACATATATGCACATAGGAAAAAACAAGCATCATACCTCCATCTCCATCCGTCCCATCCCCATGACATCATATTTAAGGATAATGGGCACAGGGTCGGTGCGTCCTGAGGGAAAAGAGACAGAGAGAGGACTAGGTGAGTTTTTTTAAGCTGGAACGAAGGACCAACTCGGAGACAGCCTGCTTTTAGAGCATAGGGTGCTGGGGTTAGAGAATTTTGCCTTGAAGTGCAAAGAGACCAGAAAGCTACAGTGAACCAAACACCAGCTATTCTCACAGCTTACTGCAGCCACCAACTACTGACCAATTTAGCCTTGCTGATACATTTGACCTGGCTGCTGGTTTGCACTTTGAATGAGTCAAATTAGCTGCAACTAGTGTGTTCCTGGTGGGTTAAATGAAGACAAGGGCATTAGGGTTGTTCAGCATTATGTCTTACTACCAAAAAGATGAAGTGCACTAGAAAAAAGATTTTCAGTTGTACGCCAGTCTGTTTCCATATCTTTTTCAGTCTAACTGTGCCGCCCACTACCCCTCCTCCATCCGTTCATCGCTGCAGTCCTGTTAAACCTGAATGCCAAGTTTATCAAGGACGCTACAGCTCGAGGGACTGTGTGGTGTGGCATTTGTGTGTTGTGTGTGTGTGGGGAATTGCAACAGGCCTGCGCAGCTGCTGCCACTGCTCACTGAGCACCACTGCGACATCCTCCATGAGGGGAACAAAGCCTCCTAATATTATCTAAGGCCTATTGCATCATATCTTGCTGAACTGTCTACAGGCTGCCTGACCCTTTGCAAGCCCCTTTTGCTGTCCTCAAGTCCAAATCTGTTCCCTTGTCCCAGGCCCCCTTCCTCATCATGACTGGAGCCGAAAGATTATTTTCCCCTGTCCGCTTAAGCTATGTTACGTAAGCTGTGAAAAGAGCTAGATCAGAAGGAAATTAACTGTAGAAAAATAAACAAACCAAAGACAACCAAAAAACAGAATGAAACATTAAAGATATAAAATATATAAAAATCAAAACTACTTTGGAGATTGACACAGAATTGCTTAATCCACTCATAATCAGCCAAACAAAGCAGAGAGAAAGAGTAAAATTAAAAAAAGGACACAAGCACTGAACTACAGCAGAGTGACGTCACAGGCCAGGTATCGCCATGGTGACAGTGCAAGGGATGGGGATACTTACCTGGTAAAACATGGGTATGAGTAGGAGGAGAAGGAAGGGGAGGACAGACAGACAGACAGATAGATAGATAGATAGATGGATAGATAGACAGGGGAATCTCAAAACAAAAGGCATAAAAAGAATTTGGACTAGTCTGCTGCTCCTGATGCCAGCCAGATACAATTATCGATCTTACTGATAGTGATTATCAATTCAGTTTGGTTTCAGTTTTTTTTTTTTCTGCCCACATATTCAACTTAGGTTGTTTTTTTTCATAAAATCTGTTTTCTATGTATGCCATTGGGCATATGGAAAACCTACAACATTGGGCTTGTACAATTTAACTTTCATTTTTGTGACACCTGCGTCAAGTGGGCACAGGTCGTTAAAGTTAAAATTTCTCTTCTAGAAAGACAAAAACTGATTTCTTAAAATAAAGAAAAACTTAATATCTTCAATCAAAAAGAAACATGTCAAAGTAATGCATTATAAGGCTTAAAATATGAATTTATTACTTTACAATGACAGGTGTGTCACATTCTTAACTTCCTGGGCAGAGGAAGGTAAGAGTATTTTGTTTTGATTAAAATATGCAATTCATTTCTGTACTTTCCTTGAGTAATTTAGTCATCACAGCCCAATGACATATTCTGAAATCATTGATGCATGGGCATTTTAACATACAACGGCCTGCCTGGACTCTCAGTCCCACTGCAGTGTCTGTCAGCTGGGCAGGCTTTCGACTGAGTACCTAACTCTGATTGCATGTTGTGGAGGCCTTATTCAGCTGAGGAAGTGAGAGGAAAGGCTTGACTGTGTGTGATAGCGATCACAAGACTACGGATAGTCTACTGATAGACATGTGGATTCATGCTTGTTGTCTAACAGCGGCACAGAAGTGAAACCAGAAATAGGGTTTGGTCTATTCGCCAGCCACTGCAGTGGTCTGTCTGAATGGAGTCACAAGCCAGGCCCAGAATTAAGGATTAATGAACAATTACAGTCATCCCAAACTATCACCAATCTTTAAACACAGTGACAATACTTCCACATTACCCATTCCAGTGGAAAAGAAAGGGACCAGACAAAAACAATGTGCATCTAAATCACAGGGTGTGAATCACAAGGTTTAAAAAAAAACTGAAAACAAACAAAATGACAATGTTCTAAGAGTAATACATATGCATGGTAATATACAAGCAGCAGAATGAGGACTAATACAGAGAGAATTGAAAGCCTATGTAGCATTGGTGCTCTGATGAGAGGAAAACAAAACAAAAAAAAATGGGAGAAATTAAAACAAAAAAACAATTCAATTGGGGGATAAAATAACATTTACCACTAAGTTTACCATCAGCACAACATGGGCAGGATCAAATCGCTGTAAAAAAGAAACACCAATTGGTTAAGCAGGAAGATTGAGGCACATAGAGAAGGGAGGGTGGGGTTTGGGAGTGTGGTTGTGGGGTTTGGGGGGTTCATTACCAGAGGGGCTTCCGTGTGTCAACCCCCCCACCCCCCTCATCCCTTCATTCAGGGCTAGGTGCTTACAGGGATTTCCTCTCCCCACTCTCTCCCAGCCACTTGTCTCAGTCCCCAGGCCCCTAGCCTGGCGTCATCTTGCTTTATCAACCAAAATATGCCCCAAGAAACCAGACTACCACCCCCTACGAGTAGGCCTTTTCCACAACGGGAACTTAGGACCAGTAACTGAACTTGCAGGCTCAGCCAGTGCTTCCACTGTCCTCCCCTGACTTTGGGATGATGGGAGTTCAGGGAGCTAGATTTTGGCACCCCTCAGGAGGTGGTATACTATCAAGGACGAGAAGGGGTGGGCTTTTTTGCCTGTCAATCATCAAACAGAAACTACAGCCAACACAAAAACATAGCGGTAACCACCATTTTACTTCTGTGGAAACATCAATGAAAATTTTTAAAACTTTGTGTTATAAAGAAAACCAGAAAGTGCAATTTGAGTATGCAACAAAATGACTATGTCTGTCCTGCTGTTGCCTTCCCAGTGGGAAAATACAGTGGAAAGGCAAAGACTACCTTTCCTTTCCCCTACAAGTTCTCATGAGTTTCCATTTATGGCAAGCTCCAGGTTACAGGTCATTGAATTCCTGTAGTGGAAAAGCAGCTAAAGTTGGCAAACTCCCATATCAGTTTAAAAAAAAACAAAAAAAAAACAGCAGTCCTTCAAATTTTACCTTGGACAAGCAGAAAAAAAAGAAACCCCATCAGATAAGTCGTTTTGGAGGAGCTGTACTGGGTGAGGGAATGATTAAAACCAGCCAAGTGTGATGGTTTATCAGCTCCAACAGGTGACATTAAAAAAAGACGCTTATTTTTGAACAAAAGTTGTGATTCAAAAGCATCCTTTAGCGTTTTTTTAACATGTGGTCAAACATCTAGCCTGAATTATAGATGCCTCTAGGGATGACCACCATTTTCCCCCTCTGCGCCTTTTGCCTCGCAGACGCTTGTCAGCCCAGTTAGCAAATCTCCCTGAGATTCTTTCATTTCCTCGCTAGCCTACAGCCAGTAAGCTCATTTTGGGATGTGCTTAACCCCAGAACAAGTGAACACATGACACACATAAAATGTACCTGAGGGAAGAGCCAGCAAGGCTTTGAGCAGTGCTTAGAGTGGGTTCAGCATTGCTATGGAGCAGCAATTTTTCACTAAATTACAATTAAAAATGAAAACTGTGCACCTATTTGTAGTATTACATTGACCCTATCATGCGAAAGCAGTAGCTCACTGTGTACCTCCAACACTGCTTAAAGCCCCAGGTGAGTGACAGTTTGAGGCAGGCAGGAGTGCACCTCTGGGACAAACATGCTGTGCAGGAGGGGCAAAGAAACAGGGGGAGGATGGGAGCCTGTAACCATGGGGACTAAGACACTTGGGGTGTAGAAGGGTGGAGAGGTTTTCCCTGTAAGTTGACTCTATGGCCCGGTCAGTAGCAGACACACACACGTCTCAGTCCCACATAATGACCACACACATACACACGAGTTTCAAAGGTTTGGAGGTAGAAACAGGCAAACAAGCAGAGGGGAGAAAACTTGTCTACTCTGCAAGCCATTCAAAGTCTGAGCCGTGGTTACAGCCAATCAGATTACCCGACAGCAGCCACGGAAACTCAAAGAGGAAAAAAAATCTAAAATACGTGGAGGTGATGATTCTAAGGGATGTGATGGAATCATGGCTTCCTAAGTCTACCTTGATTTCAAATGGATCTTTGTTCTTAATTCAAATCGAAGCACTTTACTCATAAGCAGATTGAAATAAAGGTTTAGTGATTATGAAGCAAAGAGGAGGAAGCTGACAGAGGCCATTAGCCTATGATACACTGTAAAAGGGGTGTTACACTGAGGTCAACTGCAGAGTGGGAGAAAGAAAACACACCCACACACACGCATACTGACATACAGAGGGGATCCAACAAACCTTACCTAAAAAGGGGCAAAAGGGACAAAAGAAGAATAAGAACAAAGTCAATACAGTGAAAAATTAAAAAAGGGGACACAATGCTTTAACTTCAAATTTCAACAACTGTCTCTTCTGGCAACGAGGACAGGAAAGGAGAGGAAGATTACAATGATTATCCAGCAGACTTCAATGAGATGCAATGGTGCAATTGTGTTGTGAGCCTACTCCTTGGTATATTTGCACATTTGACAGAGATAGTGGGCTCCAACACTAGGCCATTAATTCCTACACAACAACTGGACACAATTTGCCGCAGTCTCATCTGCCCACAAAGCAGGATGCTTACATAACCACATGAGTGGTGCCAGCGGCAAAAACAAGAGCACAGTCAGCCCCTGCAACTTGTTCTCTCCTCCACACAAAGCACACATCCTTATCACATCCAATAGATTGCTATTCAGCTGTTCAAGGCCAGATAGAAATAAACAACGATGGATACCAAATGCTAAGCTCTGACATTTTTGCTGTTGTAAGCGTCCATACACTTGTCAGTTTGCCCAGAATGAAGCAGCTTCCTGGTCTACTCTGGTCTCTGGCCACGGCCAGGCTGAGAATACCTATTAGACGACACAGGGAACCAAGGCCATATATGTGCATGAAAGAGAGGTGCTACGGCAGCGACAACGACGCACAACAACCAGTCATCAGATCTGGGTGTCTGTGGAAGATCAGAGTTGAAAATAGATAGATCCACACACCAAATAGCTCCCATTAAAATATTTTATTTGCCGCAAGTTTCAAGCGCAAAGTTCTTCCTTAGACTTGTGATAAATACACGGTGTCGCCATCTGAAATCCTAACAATCCATGTAACTACCACGAGTGACATGTCATATCGATTGCAAATTGCCATCAGCAAAATAATACTTGTTGCTGGAAGATTCACACAACATTTGAATACCTAAAGACCACACAGCAATGCTGAGAGCTGGCAAAGTAAAGATCAAGATGACTCACATCAATACCTGTCTGCAAGGGCTTTTCGACACTAAGGTAAATAAGCATAACATTTACTGTACATCAACAGCTGAAAATGTTCTTCCTCCTCTATTTGTCAGCAAACAAATACATTTAGAATTATACTCACTTTCTGGTAAAGTAAGGAGACTCTCCCTGGTCACTTATTAGATAAAACCTGACACTGCATGTTTCAAAAGTGCAAGACTTTTTAAAGGATTTTTTTTTCTATTTCTGTAGACTGACAACAGTGGATATGTGAATGTCATTGACAGAACCATAAAAATAAGGAACACATGAACTTTACAGACGTCATTTCAGTAATCTAACTATGCTGTCAACAAATCCAGTTAAGCAGCACTCGTGTGAACACAGATATCTCTGTATTTTTCAATTTAAAGTGCAAATTTAAGCAACTGAATTACTTAACAAACCCCTAAATGTTCATGTCCAGGATATAACGTGTCTATAGTTTGGGTGTATGCTGGAGACTCAGTTTTGTTGAATGAGTGGTGTTTCTCATTTAAATGCTAATATTGGGAACAGATGTGCTGCTGGGTGAGTAATGCACTTGAGCAAGAGTTGCAATTGAGCAACAAATAGAGATGAATAGGTCAGAAATGACTAAAATGGTATGGATCCAGAGAATAGAGAAGGAAATGGTGGAGGAGGTAGACAAGACTACATGCCAGGAATTATGTAGAAAAACAAGCTTTCATTCTTAACAGACTGCGAGGAGTCATTGGCCTGCCAGTGATGACATCACTTGAGGACGATGTTATACATCATCTCTTTTGGGCAGATTTCAGAGTCGGGTGAGGCTATGAAGAAAGGCTTAAGAAAGTCAGGAACATAGAGAAAATGAAGATACTGATGAGCACAGGAAAGCCGGTGAAGAGACAGGAAAGGGCTCAGTGGAAACATGCCAGGGCCCTGCACCACTGCCTCTGAGCCAATGAGCCTATGAGCACTGCAGGGTTGAGCTAATGAGGTGCTAACGTCAGCCAAGACCAACCCACACACTCAGATATGTGCAGCCTTCTACCTCTTAGACCAAGTCAATATCAACTAGGCCATTCCATTACAGAGAATGGTCCACAGAGAGTAAACCTCTTTAATGCAGCTTGTAGTCTAAAGCTTTCTACATCTTACAAAATTAATTTGATGTGCATAGCATTTCAACTCAAAACACACAACAGTCCTCAATCTTAAACTGAAAGAGAAAAATCTTCAATAAAATGGTGTTTTAGATTTTTAAGCTTGCAGATGTTGCATAGACATTCCAAAAACTACAAGGATTTAGAGTAAAAACAATCCTGTTTTAAACTGGCTGTACTACAGGGCAGTGCTGATTAAAGCATCAGTATGACAATTTAATATGGTGATTGATGTATAGTTAGAATTATTAGATAATCATGTTCACCTAGCAGTAACAAAAATGAAACACAACAGGTGCCCACAAACAGGATCTGAAAATTGTGGAAAGCTATCACAGCGGTAACTTGAGTCAACAGCAGAAATACTGTATCCATGTTGAAAGGAGAGAGAAGCTGAGTGAATGCGATTGTCCAACGCAGACCGCTGGCCTAATAATACCATTTTGCACTGCAGCCAGCATCATGGCATGTTTAACTGTTTTTTTGCAGGACAACCCTGTGTTGGACTACACTGGCACACTGGCTCCCTTCCAATGAGTGACAGAGCTGTATTTTTCCAAATAAAGCTTAAGTAGACCTGAGTGCAATGTCAGACTGGTACTGCAAGTCTTGTAAAACCTTAGGGCACAATTTGAACATTCCCTCAGATCCAGACAAGACCTGAGAAAAGTTTGGAGTTTAATTTGAGGCCATACATTCCAGCAAAGACACAGCCATGTTTGATGTTGGCTGGTGGGTGTTTTCAAAGTCAACCGTGTGCTCTTCATTATGTGCATCACTGCACGAAAAAAGTGCCCATGTTTAAACAACGCTTAGCACCTATAACTAGGTTATAAACCAAGAAAGTGATCTGATCAGAATATGTTTTCAACCAGGGGTTCAAGACAAAATCTGAAAAATGTAAAAACAAAGACATCCCCTGCAGGCAACAAAGAAACTAGCAAATCAGCAAACTGTATGTTCATAACCACTTCCCTCCAAGATGGATGGCTAAAACAACCTAGTATGCAAAGTCAACTTTAATCTGAATTTCTGTGAACTAAATGCATCAAGGGAAGTCAAATAAACCCTTCCCTTCCATCCCTCAACTCCCAGAGTTCCTTTCCTCAGTCTTAATCCTTTATAAGACCTCAGGAGTATTTTCTTCTCTCTTTAAATTTGAGGTAACAGTAGCATGAGAGTGACAAGAGCAACTGAAATGACATTTGTTTAGGTAATATTCCATTCTACCCAGACACAAAGGAAGAGGTCAGAGAAAGGATGTGAAGAGAAAACAATATCTGCTCGTCCAAAAAAAAGAAAAAAAAAGAAAGAAAGAAAAAAAGCAACTGTAAATGTGAGGGGAAAGAAAATGACAGAAGGTAGTGGCTCAGTACCACCAGCATACATGAGAGCATAGGTGTACAGAGGAGTGTATTCTTACCCTGCATAGTTTTGCCAAGGCCTTGTCCCAACTTCCAGCCATGTTTCTGAAGCAGCCGGTGCCCGATGTTATCCTAGCAGAGAGAACAGAGGAGAAAAAAACCAAAAATATTCCAATAATAAGAGGAGCTTTACCCCGTGGGCACGGGTGACAACACAAACAAAATAAAATAAAAACACTCAGATCACGCTATCATCATCAGCACAACCACCACCACCATCACCATCGTCATTATCGTCATCACCTACAGCGTGTAACAATCAGTGTCTTCCAGCACAAGGAGTGGTAAGGGCAGCTGAGGGGAAGGGAGGGGGGATAAAGGGTGGGAGACTGAGAGGAAGGGTAGGATTTCCACTATGATGAATACATGAGGCTGTATGTAGTCTGTAAGCTACAAGATATCCTCCTAGAGTAGGAGTGCAGTTTAAAAAACATTTTTCAGGCAAAGAAATTGGGCATGAGCATTTCTCTTTTTTTTTTTTGGATGATAAAGATAACACATCAAGTCACATCCACTAACTGAGAGGTTAAGAGGAGGAGGAGTAAGGAGAGGGCAATATATGTATCACACGCATACATATATGAACCACTACAGAGCAAGATCTTAGTACACAAAGAAAAGTGACACAGAACAGGTATGGAAATCTAGCATTAACAAAACGAAGACCAGAAACTCCAAGCTTGCTGTGATTCCGTAACCATGACAAGGGGAGCACCATGAAACATAATGTAGCTGTCACAAATAATATAGCGAGAGGAAGAGACAGAAGTGGAGCTAGTGGGCCTTGGATTACCATTACAAGGCCCAGGGTGGACAGAATATGCACGTGTGAGGGGATATGTGGGTGTGCAGGTGAAGAGAGGGAAACGTTGTGTGCATGTAGCCCCATCTGATATACTAAAAATAGCTGCTGTACATGTTTTTGTACACCTCCAGCATCTCTGGTTTGTTATCGATTGTCCGCACCCAGCCATGTTCACACTTTCAAACAATTATTAGACAAGAACGTATGCAGTTAGCATGTCTCTAACTTGATTATCATAGATAACATTGGCATTCAGAAACTACAAGAAATACTTTACAGATTAGATGGCCTTTTCTGATTGGTTTGCATAAATGTACTTACATTGAGTTCATCATAGTGGACCCCCAAAAATGTGCATTAAGGCCATCTACTTTAAAGTACTCTTTTTCTGCTTTTCTTCTAATACCAATGATGGCTATGACAAACATTACACGACTAACAATGGTGACAAGACCAGGCAATGAACCAGATAACCAGGATAATGAACCAAAGAGGCTAGAAAGGAGTGCAAGAACATACACAACAGGAATTCTTAGTACATCGTGGGGCCAAATGTGCATGTCGGAGACCGTTATATCACTAGTATGGGTCAGCAAGAAAACAAAAACATTAAGTGAAATGCAAGACCGTCCCACCACTACACACTACAGTACATCCTCAAGCACAAATAAACAGGAAACAATGAGATTTCTTAATAAGCAGTGTTTTTCTGTTGTGATTATAACTATTCCAAGCTTGTCTAACATTCACCAGAGTGCTGCATTCTACCAAAAAACATACAAACCAAACAAAAAGGATATTTATAATCACAAAGAGATTGACATCAACTTTCACAAACAGAAAGTGAAGGGGTTGGAACAAAACAGAAAAAAACAGCATGCAGCTTTTTGTTAAAGTATTTTAACAAAAAGGATCGTCGGAGTTAGTAGCGCACTGTGAATGGTATACATACAGAGGGGTGGGGCGGGCTGGGGGTGGAGGACGGGTTAACAAAACTCCAACTGTGTTAGTATCAGGTGGATCAGGCACAGAGAGGAAGGTGATGGCTCAACAGGGCTCAATTAGTTCTCTTTAACAAAAGAGGAGGTCGGGATAAAGGGGCAGAACAGAGCAGGCTGAGCCATGATGAGGGTGAATTTCTAGGGTGGTGGAAGTGAGTTGGGCTCGTATGGGTTAGTGCATGTGAAGGGGAGTAGAAGTCTCACACACAGCATACACTGCATCTCCGCCCACAAGGTCGCAACTGGCATATATTTGGCTTAATCCTTTCTTTTTTGTTTGTTTGTTTTTGTAAATCACAGTTGTTGGCATTTCAGAGCAAACTGTAGCCTTCCTTTGCCATATTTAGCATTCCTGGAAGAAAAAACAAAAAGTATGTCAGTTGTAAACTGACAAATGTCACTTCAGCATCAGGATGACTGGATTAAATATATCCAAGTCATCTGGTTGACATTTGCCGCGAATACTCAAGAGAGAGGTTAAAGTTCTTCACTTCCTGTTTCTGTCGGGGTTTGGTATTTTCCCCCTCCATTTCATGCATGTATGAGCTATGCTTACTCTGTGTGACTGTCAGATCCTTTCCACAGTAAGATGAGATAAGAGAGGAATCTGTGCTGGTTCAAATGGCAGAAAAACAACTGGAAACAACCTGCCTGTATCAACTCATAAACTGGGACACTGAAAACTACATTAACAGATCCTGCAAATCACTGTATGGCTTTTTCCTACCTTGAAGATTTTTTAATCAAATCATAAGATGAACAGAATTAGAGGCTGTGTGACTGGTAAAGTACACTCCTTGCTTAGTGTCTCCTGACTGCATTGTGTAGAGAAACACTGCAGAGTTTGCTGCAGTGAACGCCACTCCTGCCACTGACATTGGGCCTGCTTCTGTCCTCTACTGCAGTATTATGGTGCAACAACACTCTGCACATGAGCATCTATTGATTTGGGGAATTAGCTGATCTATGAGGCTTGAAGGAAGAGGGAAATAAAAAAAAGCACCCTAAACAAGCAGCTGAGAAATACACTTGCTTGGAGTCTAAACAGTTCCTGCCAGCTGATTTGTTTATTCTTTATCAAAAAAGTCAAAGAGGTTCAGCCAAAGACTACAGAATGAGAAGCAAACCTCTGCAACCTTGGAGAATTTTAGCCTGACCTTGAATTGAACATCTTTCCCCTTTCTTTTTTATTTTTATTAATACCTTTATTGAAGACATTTAAAACAAACTAAATACAGGAAAGGCAAGTTGGATGAGGCAACAGTTGCAACTGTAAAGAGATTAGGTCAAAATGGGCTCAGCACAGGTTAGAGGGCGGAGATGAGGTGCAGACTGAGTGTTGAACAACAGATGAGTGCACCAAAAGAATAGACAGACAGACGGATGAAAGCAACGACGGCGAGTCCAACAGCAGTGCAAGTGGAGTGAAGGCATTTCCATACGAACCTGGCTTTAAAATACTGGGCTGTCAAAAAAACAGTCACACGTGACACAACGTAAGAAACCGGCCAAACGCTTTCAACTGCAATTCTGCTAGCTTCTCTAGTTCTTAAAAATACAAATCTCTCTTTGCTTTTAAACAAACATAATACTGTATACAAACAGAAAAGGTAGGCATTTCAATAAATCCACCAACTGACTGTTAATACAGGAGAAAGAAAAAAAATAGAAAATGTTATCCAAACAAAAGAGATCTACAGGAGGGTTTTTTGTTTTTTAAAGTGTGCAATGTGCTGTCACTGGCACAGTGCATGGCAAAAGATATGGGTAAGGGAAGTGATATGCAGGGGACCCCAGCTAGAGACCTCAGAGTATTTTGTTTTACTGTTTCAGTCTATACAGCCATTTTTATGGGACTGAGTGTGTGTGTGTGTGTGTGTGTGTGTGTGTGTGTGTTTGTGCGCGCGTTTGTGAGTCCTTGTCTGGGAATGTAAAATTGCTCTAGCTCAGATTACTAGAGAGGATGTAACAAGGAACAGGCATACTTATCCCCCTAAGTGTCTCAACGTTAACTAAACAAAACCACATATTTTGTTATTTTTCTTGGACAACAGATCAGATATTCTGCATGTTCTAAAAGAAGACTGAGACAGACACATTAGGGAGCTGTCTTGCAAAATGTGGGCTGCCGGTGGTGGACAGGCTCTGCTGTCTGCTTCTCCTTACAAATTTTAGCAGCTCCCTTGTGTTTGGTACTCAGTACGTTCCTGGTCAGTGTCAGCCACTTCAAATGTGACTAAATGAAAACTGTCTAGGTGCACCAAGAAGCAAATGACTAAAACAAATGGACCTTTGTCTGAGTAGATGGATGCAAGTGTAGAGCTGTCAGATCAATGTGAAGGATTTAAAGATTTCAGTAAGTGAGTGATGGGGGAATCACAGAAAAGCAGAGATTAATTAGTGAAATTAAAAAAAATAATAATAATTTAAAAATACATACTTACCTGATAATTCTGAAGCCCCATTTCAAGGACTGGAAATTTAGCAAAATGTAGGTAAGTGAAATGTTTGTTGGTTTGTTATTTTTTATTCCATTAGTTGTTTTGTTTTATGTCCAGTCTTACTACACTGCTAACCTTGACAGAAAAACCACTTGGAGGGTCTTACCAATGACCTTGACCATCACTCCTTCTGTTCACAAGGTTAAATCTGGTGCTAAATGTACAGCCTGTGGTGGTGTCAAAAAAAGAAGGGGGAAAAAAAAAGCATGGGTCTGGATGTTAAAACGGCTGGGTTTGACCTTTCGCTTGTGGTCTTCTTGCCACCCAATAGGTGAGAGAAGTTTAACAGTTAACAGAGACAAACAGCTGTGCCAAAAACTGTAGGGCTGTAATGCAAAGGCCAACAGCTCTCCTGGTGGGCCTCAGGGAATGTATTAAAGATAAATATTAGCATAAAAATAAAAATATAAGTCGTCTTCCTGTGATCTGTATGAACCTGTATACATGTATTTCTTGGAATTCCGGTGTGTATGTGTGGGTTCTGTGGCTCTGAGGCTGCCCGCTGCATATCGCTCTGGCACTGGGTCAGGTAAGAGGAGGAAGGAGGATGGTAGGTTTAAAGGACTGGGAGGGGTAAGAGACGTGGGAGGAATGAGTCTGGGAGAAAAAATTGTAGTAGTGATTAGGACAGAGTGTTGTGAGGTAATAGTACTGAATGCTACCAAGTTAACACATGCAATGCAAAAACAGTGTTAGAGAGAAATAGCAAAAGACCAAAGGGGAAAGACAGGAAGAGAAAAAAGATCCCAATAAAGTACCACAGACCTCTAGCTGCCTATAGATCACACACAGTAAGTGGCAAGGGAGGGGCTCCGAGAAGTTGGGCTGAAGCATTCACTAACAGTTTCAAGATGTAACACTGGTGGACAATTGCCACAAATCCCACCACCTCAGAGGTTTGCACTAAGGAGGCAGGGACTGATCTGTGAACCTAATGACATGCTTTAGCATTTCAAATATCTATTAAGATGTACTATTAATCATAGCTGGTGGTCTATTATGAAGCTTAGAAAGTGTAGACAACATTCCTTGTCTTCTATTCTGATGACGCTGTGAGGATTTTTACTTTTTAACTAGAGTCATGCCTTTTTATGATGAAGCTTTTTTACGATGTCACAAAACTTCTTCAATCCACTAAATTTCCGATCATCAGGTTGATCAGTTTTAATAGGTAACGAATTGTCATGTTTGTCTGCCTTGGATAAAACAAGCTTCTTTAAGAGCATGCACTTTCCAAAAAGACTATGTTGAGTATTATTATTGGTGACAGTTGATGGCACTTCTGTTGTGGCCATTTTTCCACGGATGTGTAAAGAACTGTATGATGCTGCAGCGCGGCCCTCAGCTCCCCTCCACTAATAATAGCGCAGGAGCAAAAGAGCCACTCAAGCCAGGTGAGCAGGCCACCTCTCTCCTATGCTTCTCTCCCTCTCCACCACCTACACGCAGTGGAAATTGTTTGTGTGTCTGTGAGAAAGTACAGTACACCTTGAGCAGAACTGAACCTTTTTATATTTGTCGTTTCCTGAATTCTAGCTGTAATATGAAAAACACCTTTAAGCTCACACTTTTAAATAATAAGTAAGGCACGTGTAAATGTCATTTTTTAATGACTTCTTTTTCTCCTGCAGCTACTTCAAGACCAAAAACCATCATAATACATAACATTCATTTGTAACCTACATCTCGTTTGTTTGAAAAAAAAAATGTAGGCACATTTTTGTAAAAGCTGGCTGCATGTTGAGTCTCATCTGATTTTGTCCTCTAAAAAAATAAATATGGTATATATGTTTATAGCTTTAATTTTTTCTTTTCAAGGTATTATTTTGGCTGTTTTAGCAATTTATTTATACTTATGTTTATTCATGATCTTAAAATCTAATTTACTTGCAAATTAGCCATGTCAACTGTTAAATGCAGTTTTAATTGAAGAAAAACATGCCTGTAGTCATTACTATGTCGCTATGCATAAATGTTGCAGGTGCACCACTATTTTGCTCTCTACCTGGTGGCTCATCCTGTCTGACTGGTTGGCACAGCACATTCATTATGTTGAGGAGAGGCGACCTGACACTGTGGAGGTTAGAGGAGTTTGGGCCTGCTCACCACAGTGCTTCAGAGACAGAAGGGGGCGGGGATGGAGAGAGTGGGAAAGACAGAAAGAAGAGAGCTGCCTGCGCTATTATCGATGTGCCTCTTCAGCGAAAAATGCAGTCCCAGTTGCACAAGCACCATGCCAGCACAGAATGACAGAGGGTACTGTACACCGAATCACTGTGTAGTAGGGAGGGAGCGAGAGAGAGGTAGAGATAGAGAGAGAGAGAATAGATGTAAAGTGTGACAGTGGTGAAACAGAGTGAGAGAGAGTGAGAGAGAGAGAGAGAGAGAGAGAGAGAGAAAGAGAGAAAGACAGTCAGAGAAGCGTTACAAGGACCCTAAAGATAGGAGTAAGAAAGCAGAGCGTGCAAATACAAACCGGGTCATTGCTGCTTAGCTAATAGGGGCCAATTCGCTGCAGGAGAGAAATGTCGAACACCCCAAGTTGTGTACAATAAGATAACTGTCCTATAGAGACAAACACTATACACTAACACATAAATTCTAAAGCTACATAGACACACATTCACTCAAACACAAATGTAACCATTCACACCATCTAATGTGCGCACTCTTGTTTGCTAAATGGGGTGGAATAAGCACTGCCGACTTTTCATAAACAGGAAAATTTGAGTCACTGCAAAACAATCCCATATACAAATGTAAACTCTTTGTAATCTGGCTGTTTTAAAATCCGTATCTGCCTTGCAACTTATATTCAATGAGTTTGGATGTACTCACATAAGAGGGCTTTATGTGTAACTACATAAATCCAAATAATTCTTATATCAAAGGTAAATAAGTGGGTCTCCAATGAATCATAAAAACATAACAAAACTGTACAGCTCTGTGTGGGGACCCTGCTTAAAGTAGCTGTATTCAGAGTAAAATCTGATCATTACCAAATAAGGATATTTCATTTGAATGAGTTTATAATTAATGAACAGCTACAGTATTTAGGTAACAGCCATTAATGACAGTGCTTCGTCCACTCCATGCTTTCATCTCTTCTCATAGTGCTAAAATGACTAACAATGACTAATGGGAGACTGATACAAAAATCTAACATTTATCTGTAAGCTCTACATAAAAACAGGAAAATCTTAGCATATACATAATCATCTTAACTGTCACACAGGAAATGGAGAAGGCAGAGGACATGGGAAGTGGGAGGGACTTTAAGGGTATTAATGGACATGAGACAAGTGATTTCTAAAGGTTAGGTGGCAAGTGTGTTCAAGAAAACACTGGATGCATCTACACGGACAGTATGAATGGAGTAAAAAGGTGTGGTTCTTATTTCTCCCTGGACCAATCATATCCACTCTCACAGCTGGTCCAATGGTGCGGGATGATGGATGCAGCCTTACCGATTCGATGGGCTTGTCCAGGGATGCCTGCTCCAGCTCCAACTGGCCTTCTTCATACTGGTCAAAGTGATTCCCCCCCTGTCAGAGACACAAATAGAACTTTATTTTAGAATTATGTCAGGAAGCTGGTAAGCATTGGTAGTAGAGCTGAAACTGGTCAACTCACAGAAAAACTGCTTTATTTCCCAATTAATCAGCAAGTCAATTTCAAGTAACAGACTTTGCTGTCTTATGTGATAATAAACTGAACCTATTTGGATTTTTTGACTATTGACTGGACAAAACAAGCAGCTTGAAGACATCTGAGAGATTGTAATAACTATTCTTCAGAATATTCTGACAGAGATCAAATGAATAATCTGTGAACTCAGAAAAATGGCAGTTTTATGTATAGTAAAGATAATCACTGGTTGCCTTCCTAATTGACAGTAATAACAGGAACAGATTCTGAGCAAGACTTCAGCCACAGATACAAAAATCATTTGGAAACAAGACAATGACTGGCTGCATTTTCATGTCTGGAAGCATACCTACTGCCTGTCATTTGCACTGACTAACAGTCAATCACACCAAATGAATAGTAGGACAAAACAAGTTTATGTTCTCCAGAGAACAAGATGTGTTTATCAAGAATCAGGTCAGCATCTCAACTGGTTCTGGACTCATTGTTCTTTCTTTGAGCCTTTGTTGACCAACATATATCAGTAAAGTAGATACATGTGTCTATGCCACATCTATTATCACATTCAAGTAAAACATGTACACCATATTGTTAACAATAAATTAGGAAGTATATCAAGAAAATACCATATAGTAATAATATAGAGTAAAACATTTCTATTAAATCCAACATAGATGCTAAACACCACATACCACAAGAAAAAACACACATGTATCAGATTGTGTTGCTGCTATTCTCTTTGTTTCCCCATTACCTCCAACACAACCTACTACATTTTTCAGATATTGCAATATGAAAGAACCTTCAGTTTGAGGTTTATAAATATAATGTAAATTTCACTTAACAAATGTTTTAGCATATTCATAGCCATGACTGAAAATGGACTTTACAGGGTTGATTTCTTTCTCTTTATTTCTTGGTAAATGTATTCCAGCAGTGACAGTGAAGGAACACTTGCCAAATTTGCTGTGATATTTGCTGTGTGACTCTAAAGCAAAGCTTTACATACACAAACTGAGCATGTATATTAAAGTCCATGCCCTGGGTTGGACAGAGAGTGAGTAATGGGCTTACTACCCCGACCAAAGGAGTGAGTTTATAGAGCAGTCTCTGCTCTGAGACAGATGGCTTCCTCTCTTTAGCAGCAGAGGAGAGACGAAGGTCATGTTTGTGAGTCAGTTTTCTCCTGACCTCCACATAAGCAGAAAACTGAAAGGTTCCAAAAATATTACATGGTATTATATTATTTACTAGCCACTTGCAGTGCAAGCAATAGCACGCTTGTGGACAGCAAACTGAATGTAACTACAACCCACACAACACATTGAGATTTTACTTCACACTGTCATGCGTGCTTAAGGTATTGAACACGTACAACACGACCTTCACTTTGCCTTCATATGATTGAAAGCTTCTTGTATTATTTGTAACATAACTGAAAATAGCTTACAGCTTACAGCATTTTCTGATTCTGCAGAACTGTGAAGCAACCACTGCTGTAAAAAGACAATGCCAACGTGGCTGAGCCATGCAATGAGCTTTCACCGCCACATTCTCTAGGGAATCTGGTTTTGCAGAGATAAGCAATTGTTCAAATCAGCCCACCAAAATGAGGTGATTTGATGCTACACTGGCAGTCATTAATTCAAATGAAACAGGACCCTGCATCAGCATGAGTGAAGCCAGGGATTATGAGAAGGAGAGATGCCGGGGAAGAGAAAGGATTTATTTATGAACAAATCGATGGCTCCCTGCTCTTCCCCCTATTCTCTTCCTCTCCTGACTTTCTGCTCAGAACACTTAATATGTTATCAGCACCGCCTGTACCTACCACAGTGACTTCATCTTTTCACTTCTGTTTGTTTCCTCATCACCCTGACTCTAACACACAAACATCACAGCAATGTGTCATAGAAATGATGCTGGCCTTGTATTCTGATGTGCATTACATGAGTAAATTGCCAATGTTGCTACATCAGAGAAGTGGATCCTCCACACCACACCACATTAGAAAATGAGAGCACTACTTCTGGACACCTCTGCAGGTGCTCATAAATTGCCTTGTATTTTTCTGCTACTCAAGACTACTTGCACAATAAAGCTCCAACAACAATTTAAATCAATAGAGTGGACAGTGCTGTTTGGCTGGTTGTGCAGTGGATATTAGGTAGACCATCTGTGGGTGTTTCCTGTCCTGTGTTGCTTGGCAGCAAGCTTTAATCCATGGAGTCAGTGAGAAACTTTCTGAATACTGAGCATATGAATGCCTTCGCAGCAGATCTCACACACAGAGCTCCACTGTGCTGAGCCGGAGCTCCCTCAACAGACTCATTCAGACCACACAGCAATTCACCTCTCACTGACAAAATAGCAGAAAACTGAGTTCCACAGTGGCTGCAGAGGAAAAAAACAAGCAGTTTCTCAGACTCTTTCCAATACACATGATTAAAGTTGTAGTGCACGTCATTGCTTGTCTTATAATTTGCCTACTTTATCACATTAACTCCAGAAAACAGCTGATTCCTTCCAAAAAAACAAACAGCTACAGGTTGCAGCCAAGTTTGACACTATTCTCTACAATGACAAAAGACCAAATAGTTGATAAACCAAAAACTTTTAAACCAAATCAGAGGATCACTAGCTTCACTGTCCTTCAAACTTTTTTTTTTTTTGTTTGTTTTTAGTGCATGCTTAAATAGAGGTCCCAAAAATAAAGACAGCATTTCCCCCGGAGTACATATTTCAATTACTGATCTAAACTCTTAATCTAACCAGGCTTGAACATTGCTGTTGATGCAGCAATTCTTCTCTTCCTGCAAAAACCACTGGAAAAATACACACACAAGGTCATAGAGACAATACAAAGAAGCAATTTTTTGTTTTTTTTAAAATAAAAATGGCACACACATTGGTTAGCAGATATGCTTGCCATCTTCATATTCATATCAATGCCTGTGTTTATACAGTATAACATCAAAAACTGGCCAATATGATGTGTGAAGAGATGCTTCAGAGAAACTATGCTTTGAAGCTGTTTAGAAATCACACACCAACAGCCCCGATGTAATCCCAAAACTCTTGACCTAGATGCGAGAGGTTGACTTTATTTGATAAACCCACTTGAAACTACCGCAGACACTGCGCTGTAATTATAAACTAGAAAATTCTGAAGTATTTTGTGCCAGAAAACGACGTCCTAAATTCAAATTATAATGTTGTCGTTCATCCACAGATTACAATTACAAACATGGATGTTAAAACTGGTATTTCAGTTACAATTTAAAAAGAAAAACTTGTTTTAACAGTTAGCAGACTAACTAACAACGACTATGTCAGTCGTGGCAGGTCTCTAGTAGTAACTGGTTAAGCGGCCTTAAAGTATTGTTGGATGCAGAGTGTGGCTGATGCTGGGTCAGCATGGAGAGTATAATGTTACCAGTGGGATTGGAAAGGAAATACCTGTGATAAATATAAGTGTGTTTATGGTGAGAAAAAACACACCCACTAACAAACTAGAAACCAGTTAATTTTGTAGTCCAGTGAGTAATGTTGTGTTTGTCTTTTACTGGGTGCGGTCTTAGATCACAGATAGGCAAGTGGAAGACAAACAGTCAGAAGCAGGTTGTGAAATTCAGCTCTAGCACAAATGTAGATATAAAACCTGAAATGTCACAAAAATAATGTTATTAATGGGCAGTGTAGGTGAATTTATTGATGCAATTCATGAATGACCTCAAGCTGAAGCAAAATATAAAGTCTCTTTAATGCCATCTTAGTGTGCAATCTCATATAAAAAGGGTGTTTTATTATTGAATCAAACAACATAAATGAAGCAAATCCCCCTGTCACTGTCACAACAAGAAAAACAACAACTTATTGGTGTGGCATTTACAAAAAGGAAAGAACACATTATTTACAGTTTGGTGGGTTTGGAGAGAATCTGAATTTGATTGAGCAAGACATGTTTAAAATGTGTCGTTAATCATGCCTAAAACTCGTACTCTGGGCGGCTTCAAGTAGATTTCGGTGGTTATTTCATGTATTATCAGATAGCTGACTGTTACTAGGTTAACATGAACATGCTAGCTAGCCGCTATGCTTGCATTTTGGTTGTCAAAATGATACAGCCATTTCTGGCTATTAGCGCTACGCTGCCTAATGTGCGTACAAGCTAGCTATGTGCTAGCCAGCTATCCATCGTTAGCATATGTCGATAAATAACCAAAACCCAAGGTCACTAACGAGCTAGTTGGACTTCAGTTTCCACTCTGCTGTTGCGTGATTCGGACGGTTAAAGTGGCTGGAAAGGGCTGATATTGATAAACCAACCAATAAACCATGACAGGAGTCAAATATAGCACACAGCCAAACACTGAGACGTAGGGGAAGTTAAAATGAGAAGAGCCGCAGTGCACTAGCCTCGCTCGCTAGCGCTAAGCTAAGCTAGCTTGCAGTGCTAGCGAGCGACATCCACACCGAAATGCACGATGCCGTTAATTCTGTGTCTTCTGTGTCTGCGACGTTTAAATCTACACCCGTGTGCCGAAACAACTCTACATGTTAGGATATTTGCAAATGCTCGGTCGTTCGACATGCATTACCTGGAAATCACGCTCTTCGTTGAACCTAGAAAATCTGTCGGCCATTTTCTGAACACAGCAGCAGCTTCTCTACTCGCTCCGTCTGTGTCCGACAGAAGCGCGCTGTGGTGAGGATGTGCGCTTCGCAAACGATTAGTCTGCGGTGAATTTACGTTTCACTGCCACTGTCCATCAAGACATTACGGTGCTACACACGGGGGATTTAGTCAGGCCATACTAATATTGTTATGTCTGTGGTTAATCCTAATCTCCGCAGATAATTTAGCATATTTCGCAAAGGTTAAACTAATGAATGTAGGCGAGGCTGGATTCATCGTATATAAAGCAGCCAAGCGGGAAGCCTGTGCGCACTTGGTCCTATTCATTTTAGTATTTTGCAGATTTGAGTAAAAATATGTATTGATAAAACATACTATCACTAAAGCTCTTCAAATAGCCTATTAGACAGCCTAATTTAAAGTATTTTAGTTTATATTGTACTAAAATGTTATGCATATGTAAATAAAATAGTGCAAATTATACCAAAATAATTTTAAAATTACAATTATAACACTGTCTTTATTTATTTTGTTTTATCTGTAATAGAGGAAATGTACAATAGTAAACATATGTGTCATTTTCTATATATTATAACTGATTAGATGTATTTATTATTTATTTCTCTGTAGCTTGAGTCAAATAATGAATCTCTCATGTTTTGCGCTACATTTGATCGGTACTTGACAGATTACAGATTATGCACAGTGGATGGAAAATGGCGGGTGCAAAGCCATGATAAAGGTTTAATGGCCAACCATGGATGAAGGCATCGCAATCAACAGTTGGCACTCAATTATGAGAGGTAGTTCTGGCTATGTTGCAATTAACAAGTGATCTAAATATACGTAAAGAGTAGTCACACATATATTACTGTGGAAATATTTGCTTGTTGGAGGCAGAATGTTGAGAAGTTCAGTTTTTTTAACATAATGCAGTCATCAGTCAACACTGCTCCAACATTTACCAAGGCTAAATGAGTTCAACTGTCACAATAGGATCCACATTTCGCTTGCTGTTTGGTAGCTGTGATGTTGTGACCACAAAAGAATGACTCTCTCACGAGCCATACATTTTCTATACAAGACAAATGTTACCTTTTAAGGTACCCGACCCAGCAAAGGCATCACTTATTGTTTTAGAGAAAAAGCAAGAGCAGCACCTGCATTTTCTCCAAACACTGGAACATAATGCATAATTGTATTCTTTGTTGAGATGATAGCTGCGCGTTCATCCCATCTGGAGACACAAATCGTTCTCTTTCAGAAGATTCTTTGCTGTTATATTTCCGTCTCGTAACAAATGCTTGGTAAATGGTAGAATGAAATCCTCTCCCCAGCTTGCTTTATTTAAATCAAATATTCCCATGGTTTGCTTTGAAAATCCTTTGGCTCTTGTTTACACAAGTGTCACAATGAGAAGATATCCAGGGATTTCACTCAGTACTGAAAAGAGAAACCAGATCATCAGTATCCTCTTTGGCCTGCAGCCACGCATGAGAAAAACTCCCAGGACATTTCTGGATGAAGCTGCTTAAACCACTTACATATTGACACATATGTCTATATCCACATTCATATGAGAAACAAATATGTATTTGAGTCAAACACTGTTTTATCAGTACTCATGCACTAACCACTGTACATAAACATCGAGAAATTTAATCAAATCAGTATATATTTTCTAGTTTATTTAACATAAACACAAGTGTTTTGCTAATTGGGGGTTATTTGAGCTAATAATTAATACACTTTTTTTTTATTTTCAGACCACCTAAATACTTAAAAACATGAGCCCTTACAGCTTGAGGTATCTTGACTTAAAATTATGAGTTGAATAAAGAACAGCTGAAAGTTTGCTTAACTCATGAAATTAAGTTTAAAGGAAACAAAGCAAGCATGTAAACAGACTTCCCAGGATGCAATGTTTAAACTTCCCACATACTCTTGTTTGTTGTAATTTCAGAAAAAACAGAAATCAAGAAAACTTGCTGTGTGTCTTTACTAGTCTATGTGCTAATTTGTGCTATGGTTGTTTCTTTTCATAGTCTTCAAAGCAATTCTAGTCTTGACAAAGGTTCGTACTGAATTCACCCCTAGAATTGTAATTTCTTTAGGAGCTGGAGCAAGTCTCACAGATTGTCTTTGTGCTGACTCTTGCCAAAAATGGCTTCAAGAGCTGGGACTGAAAGAAACACTCAAATTTAGCTGATGTTAAAGAAACGCAAGTCTGTGTGCAGTCATTGTCTTTGTGACTAGTTGATTCAACTTAATGACCTAAGTTTATTAAACTTGCTTTCTCAAGTTCAGTTAATTTAATGCAGCTAATTTTACTCTTTCACAACCTTGAAACAATTAATCAGCCAAAGTGCAGTTTACTCACATTTTTAAGGCAGTAGGAGAACTAACATTTCTAAGCTGAATGAACTTCAAAGTGATTTACACCATAGGCAAGCACAGATTAAAACCTATAAATGAACAATATTATGCCTTATAATCAAGGTATACTAGAGAATACCCATTACCTTTTATTGGCCAGCACCTGAAACTTTTGATCAAGTCCTCCTTCAAAACCACAGGATGTGAATGTCAGTGCTATTAAGCTCAACAACTGATTGAGATGGTTGTAAAATTACTGAGCATGAAAGGCACTAATACTCATTAGCCCAAGTAATTGAATTATGTAACAGTTAATTAAGTTTGATTGCAGGCAAGCCATAATGCCGCATGTAAACATAGACAGTGATGTGGCCCTATGTGCTGAAGCAGGAGTGCGTTTCAGTCAGTGGTTTGTGACTCCATCTTGTGGTAAATCTGTGTCAGTACAGACAACCTGATTTATAATGAGAGGAATGGGCTGATAAAATACAGTATGCAATATATTTTACTGAGCTGTATATAAAGGGTAAACAGCCCCCCCTTTGGAATACATTTTCTTTTCTTTTAAAAATACACACACATATATATATATATATAATAGATATCAATATAAGTACAGAAAAAGTAAGCTTAAGGAAACAGATTTATAAAATTATAGCAGACCGCAACTTTGTTTTTAAAAAAAAAACAACAAAACAAAGTGAAATCTTGAAAATTCATCCATCTGTTGGGGAAAGAAGCCCCCTGAGGAGGATTCTGACTTCGTGGGCTATTTTTACAAACGTGTTACTTGTTACACAGGATCAACTTTATTTTCACATTTTAAGGTCACTCTGGCTCCTGCAACATTTTAGACACAGAAATTGTTATTAATTATTGTTATTAATTAACATAAATGAACTACAGTTTGACTCCTGCCAATTAATCTCCAGTATCCACCTGTAGTTAACTTTACTGTATATATGAAACTAATATTTAAATTCCTGACATAAGAGATTTTAATTTAAATGCCATATATAAATCACACCAAGTCACTAATCAGCAGGGGTTCTTAGCTTTCAGTGATAATGAATTCAAGCAAACTAATACTTCAGCAAGCCACTGTAGCATAATGCTTTTAGTTTAACTTACATTTAATTAGGTATATGTTTAAAACAATAATCACATGTTTATTACTGCTGGTTGGCTTTTATGTTATTGTATGAGATGACGGTGTTCATCATTTATCAAAAATCAAGGTAAGTGTGAATATTACATTGAAACACATTTTTAAAGGTCAGCAAGAAAACCTTCATCCAAGAAAAGGCCTGACAGGAAAACTGATGTATTTAGTGATCAGGAGGGGAATCATGGTCTGAGATTTCTTACCTCAGGGGGGTTATAAACGTTATTTATTGCAATGACTCTTTGTCATTACATACACAGAAAGAAAGCGACACTGAATGCAAACTGGAGGTTACTGAAAAAAAGAAATCTTTTGCTCTTCTGCTTAATTTATTCCATAGCTGCTGCTTAAAATTACAATTTGGTTTTGTGACAATTTAGGAAATTTTAAGGCATTTTAAAACAAACCTGAACAGTCAAGTTAAAAATAAACGCATCCAAGAATTTCTACAAATTAAAAGCATAATTGTGACTTACAGAAACTTGTAAAAAATATTTGTCAAAGCATAAACAACAATGAAAAGATGTACTTGCACACGTGCAATCAATTATAGCACCAAGATGATTTGCATAATACAAATAAATGCTGTTATTGTAAAATTAAGGGAAGAAACTTTGAAATGTAACCGGAAATCAACCGGAAATCTTTTCTTCTTGCTTCAGACAGATGCGATCGACATCGGCCGACGCCTTCTAACGAGAAGAACGGTGAGTCAAGAGTCTCCTTCTCTCCTTTAAAACAACCTATTTAAACCAGGTTAACACCTCTCTCACCACAGTCTTTTCTTCTGTCTTCCTAGAATACAGTTTACTGTTTTAAATGTTTCAATTCTTAACGAATAGCTAAAACTTTCAGTTTTGAAATGGCGGTGAATGTTGCAAGAAGGAAGTTATTTTGCTGAGAGCGCAAACACCCAAGATTAGCCAATTGAAGGTAGCTGTAGTTTTATGGATATGTTTCTAGTTTGTATCAAAGTAGCAAAGACCAGAACTATAAACAGTAAGATATGTTAAACCGCTTACATCAAGTTTGTTCGGCAAAGTTTTTCAGACCCGCACACGCCTATGGAGCAGCTCTCTGGTTTCAGCTGCTCCGCTTTGCACCGACAATTGCTGGATGTTTTTCTTTGTCAAGGATCGCAGGAATTATTGATATTATCTTTCAGGAAAATGATAAATGCATATCATAATGGGAAAATATAGATTACAAAGGCATGCCCGAGGGTACAAAAAGTACATTCAAAGCTATAAGACACACCTATTACACAGGAAATCAAGCAAGCTCACAGATTTCTAACTTTGTCTCCATAGAAGTAGCTGTTGAGTTCATTTCATGTTGGCCAATATGTATAAATGTAACCTTGTTCCATTATCAGCTCTTATCTGCCTGGTTGATATATTGGGTCATTGTTAGCTCATAGATTTAATAGTTTATATTAGTCACCACTGACAGGTACTGTTTGTCAGGTCCAGGTTCTGCTGTTTCTGCACACAGCACAAGTACATGCTGGACTGTTCTTGGCCCAGCGTCAAACTCCTGGTCTGCATTTTAAGCAAAGCAGGACTGGCCCAGGTCCATCCCTGAACGAAAAACCCGATGTCCTGTCAGGGAAAATGTCCTATTCTTGTTTCCTTTGCAAAATGGCAACAAAAAAAAAAAAGTGCAGATAAGACTTTGGATAAAATCTGCACACAAAGTTCCACTACACAGCTGTGGCCTGCAGCATAGTCTGACATAGCATCCAACATATGATTACACCCTAGATCTCAAGTTCTACATATTAGACTTCAGTCTGTGGTAATGTTTAGAAGATGGACATATCTCATGGAACATGAGGATGTCCTCTCCACTTATGGCAAATGTGTCTGTTATCTTTTCTGTGTCACAAAAATACAATTTGACGCCATTTCCTGACATTTATCAAGGTGGTATTAAAAGGGATGATTTCTTAAACTTTCATACTCATTACTGACTAATAACGAGGTAATTTTTCTAGATTAATTCAATCATTTTTTTTGTTTGTTTTTCACGTGTCAAAAAATAGGGACAAATGTTGACATCTTCAGGTTTTTCCAGATCAAAACTCAATAACATTTCCAGGAACATAAAACAGAGGAGAGTCACAACATGAGCAAAGTGAGATATACGCAATTCTGAATTGTTCTGAGAAATTATCCTTGTCAAGCACTTGCAGTTAATTTAGAGAACATCATCACTTAAATTCAAAGAGCAGACTGAGTAGGACTTTGCACTTTGTAACTGAAATGAGTCCAGTTTCTAACTGGAAAAAAAGGGAAGTTGTTAGAAGAGACACAGAAACATCTGCCTGAATCCTGTGGTTTGCACTAAAATGTGCAAATACAGATTTTGAAAAAGTCTGAACGTTGCATAGTCCAGGAGTGGGAAGCAGCCAGCATATCCCTTAAGAGTCACTTGGCTATTTGTATTCCGTGGCCGACTTCAGGTCGAGTGCCTTTGCGCTGTTCTTACTAACCGCCTTGGAATTTCATTAATCCGTGTGAATGAACAGCAGAAGGGAGCTCAGTATAGTCACTGGCTGTGTGTGGAGTTTAACTCTGGACCTCTTTGCAAAAATATTGCAGTGAATTGTGTCTTTTTATATTTAACATTTTAGGTAATTATGCATATACTCTCAGTTACATCTCAGTTACAAGGTAATTAGATATGCCTTTACATTCTGACATAATCCAATGCTACACCCCTGCAGTCTGCTTAGCGCTGATCATTACACAAAGATGTTTGTGACCACAGAGCTGTCTGAGGGGCTGCACAGTGGATCAGTGATTAGCAGTGTTGCCTCGCAGCTAGAAAATTCCCAGTTTGCGTCCCAGGTAGGACACCTGGGATCTCTCTGTGTGGAGTTTGCATGTTCTCCCCGTGCAGCGTTGGTTCTCTCTGAGTTCTTCGGCTTCCTCCCACAGTCCAATGCTGAGGTTAATTGGTAAATCTAAATTGTCCGTAGGTGGGAATGTGCTTGTTTGTCTCTAAGTGTATCCCTGTGATAAACTGGCGACCTGTCCAGGGTGTCCCCTGCCTTCACCCTGAGTTGACTTGGATAGGCTCCAGTCCCCCCGCAACCCTAGTGAGGAGTAAACGGTGTATAGATAATGAATGGATAGATGGTTCCTAATTCATCCAGCAGCATTAAAATTACTCCAAACATAAAACCAGAGTGTTTAAGGACTATTCTCAGCAAGAAGACAACAAGAATCCTGCAATAGAGAGTGTGGTCCCCACAAAGCTCTGATCTCAACATCATGGAGTTAGTTTGGGTTTACATGAAGAAGAAGGTCTGAATTGGACAGCTTTAGTTCCCCAGGATGCTTGAAACAACCTACCTGCCAAGAACCATTCAAACTAAAAGCATACCAAGTAGAGCAGTGCTGTTTAAAGGCCAAAGTAGCTCACACAGAGTACCAATATGTTTCAGTGGGGTTTTCTTTGTTGTTGTTTATCATAAAATGTGTAAAGGGCTGCAAGGTGGCTTGGTCGTTAGCATCGTTGCCTCGCAGCTAGAAGGTCGCCGGTTCACGTCCTGGTGAGGACACCCAGGATCTTTCTGTGTGGAGTTTGCATGTTCTCCCTGTGCAGTGTGGGTTCTCTCCGGGTTCTCCGGCTTCCTCCCACACAGTTCAAAAACATGTTGAGTTTAATTGGTGATTCTAAAAATTGTCAGTAGGTGTGAATGTGAGTGTGCTTGGTTGTCTGTCTCTAAGTGTAGCCCTGTGATAGACTGGCGACCTGTCCAGGGTGTCCCCTGCCTTCATCCTGAGTCAGCTGGGATAGACTCCAGCCCCCCACGACCCTAGTGAGGATTAAGCGGTGTATAGATAATGGATGGATGGAAACTTTTCGAGTTCAAAGTGTAAACCTTTTCCAGTTCAAACCTTTGCCTGTATTCTAAAAAGATTTTTTTAATATATTGCTTTCAGATGTTTTACAGAACAAATCAGTAAATTGCAAAAAAAAAATGCTTATCACAATTCCTCAGTGCCCAAGGTACATCTTACAAGTGTCTTATAGATATTCAGATTACTTACACAGAAAACTAAGAACAATAGAAAATAGTAATATTTAAAAAGCTGAAATTGGTGAGTTTTTTGCAGTAATGTTGCAGATTAGCTTTCAATAGATTAATCAACTACATGTTTTAGCTCTAGACGGACTGATTCAATGAGAAAATAATGAGATTAATTGATAATAAATAAAATTGTTAGCTGTATCTGTAGCTGCTCGTGCAATACATGAAGTCAGTGACTAACAGGTTAACAAAAACCTAACTACCTGTGACAATGTCCACTGATTTAGAACAGCTTTTCTAAGATACCGTTGTCATAACAAACTATTTCCTTATCAGTTAAAGTGCAGAGAGCAACCTGCATTCAGATTGTCATTTATGGCATGCAGCAGGTGGTATTCTGAATTTCCTGTGTTCTGTAGTGGTTTTTATACGAGTTTGTTGTTTTGCTGCTTTAAAAAAAAAAAAAGAAAGGAGATTATTTCAGATACATATCACAGATGCCTCACAAGAGTGACAGCGCTTACTCCAAATTCTCTTGTCGACAAATGTTTTCCACAAGAAGATGCTTATAATGTCAAAAAGAAAGAAGGTTCTTTGTTGATGTTTTAACGGCAGGAGATATAGTGGAGAAAGTCTGTGGGTGTGACATGACATGTGACAGACTCTTAGAAATCAGAAGGCTACGGGGTCTTTAGGATATTGGAGCACACGATAGGTCACTTCTGCATTGTCTGAGTTCACAAACACTACATTTGTTTCTATTCTGCTTTTTTATTAGAAGCCGATACGCTGATGTGTGGATCACGTCCATTATTTCCTCGGTACTATATCTTGATATGACGCAGAGAGAGAGGGCTTTGTCGCTTTCCACAGTTCACATTTGATCATGAGAACCATAATCAAACATGTTATCCTTTAATCTACGGTAGTCAGAGGGCAGAGCGAGTAAGCCAGCCCTGTTGGAGGTAGCGGAGGGAGGGGGGAATATGGGGAAGTGGAGATGCATTTCCCATAAGTCATGTCAGCCAGCTCCTCCCCCTCCTTGGCAGAGAGCCAGCATCGAGCCCGGCACAGAGCCTGAGCGGCAAGGACTGAGCTGAGACGATTGAAAATCAGAACATGACGGACGAGGAAACAAACATTGGACCTAGTTAGAGTAGATGACACGTTATTCAGAGCGGATACGCGGGGGAGAAACAGCACTTCAGGCTGGCATCTATCAGTACGTCTACACGCTTCTCTGATTCACACGTACGCAGGCTGTTTTTGTGATGGTGTGTTTGTTGGGCTTTGGAGGGCTTTCTCTATTTCCTTTCTACGTAAATGTGTCAGGGTGTGGTGATGCAAAACTTAAAGTCGGAAGTGACTGTTGAGTTGCTTCGTTCTTGGTAACCTTGCAGTACGTGAAGTTGGCACCCAAGGTAACATGATTTCTAAACTTAAACAGCTTTAATTGAAATTCATCTAGCGTTTGATGTCAGTTTTTCTGTCGTATTACTTGTATTAGTAGAGTAAATGCAAAAATTACTGTGGCGGTTTTGTAGCAGCTGCGCAATTGGTTTAGAAAAGACTGCGGGATTAATCTTTGTGTGAGAATCTGGGATCAAGTGTAACTGATGCAACATGCTGCAACTGTAGTCTCAGATCTTAATTTGTGCCTTTAAAACTGCATATCAGCTGCTAAGATGAAAACAGTGCGTGTGAGTTGTGTGTTGGTTTTACAGTTAAACATGTTGTGCTGTTCATAACCTGCATATGACAGGCAGATAGTCATGCAAATCTGTATTGGAAACGCAGCTCGGCCTTACGTTATCTATTTTACTTCCTCTGACTGAAGTGGAGCACTTGCACTCAACGACATGGTTGCAACTGTCAAAACAAGGCCAGGGCTGAGTTTCCTGTCTCATCTACCCACCACAAACTTTCAAAGTTTCAGTACGTTTTGATCATCAAGTGATCATCGTGTTCCTGAACTTACAGGGCGTAGTCGAATATGTTTCACACAAGCTGTAAAGTAGCAGATTTAAAGCTGTTCATTATTGCATTGAAGTGCGTGTTTGTGCATATGTTGGTTGGCAAGAGCAAACATGTCGTTTAAACTGAATTAGGTTTATGAGCTTTTCTACTTTGCTTGATTTCAACTGGTGATTCTGCAAATAACATAATGAACTTTTTAGGCCTGGCGGTATTCACACAAGGCCCCTTACATACAAACAGAAAAGTATTAAGACCTAAACAGACTGAACGGATTGTAAAACTCCTTTCTGAGCTTTAGGAGGAACTGTTTTTTTTTTTTCTAGCTCAAACTACACAAACTTTGTAAAGGTCACTTACTCCCGATGATAGGCAGCAACCATGTGATTAACTGTAACACTTAGAGACGAAGTGCGTGATCACTGAGGAAGCATGTTCAGCACGATCATTTCTCATTCAATCAACAATTGAAATGCGGTTCGCAAAGGTGAAAAATTGTCAATTCACTGAAAATGAATTGGCAACTTTAGAATAATTTTCTAAGGACACTTTCCTGAAGCAAAATGCCTAACATTTGTTGGTTCTACCTACTCGAGTAAAAAGATTTGACGAGTTTCTTTGTTGTATGTGATCGTAAATTGAATATTTTTGGATTTTAGAGGCATTTTTTTTACTGTTTTCTGCCATTTCATAGACAAAAGACTGATAGGTAGATCAGTTATGACGCTATAATACGCTTTTTCTCAGTTGTTTTCTGCGGTTTTCCCAAAAAATGACACTAGAATGTCAGAAAAGAGCCAAACAATACACCAATGGCCAATCACTAAAACAGTTTTTATGGTTATTTACGTATAAAACAGAACCTGAAAACAGGATGCAACTGTTGAGAAAGACCTTGACTTATCAGCTGCTTGTGATCTTCTCCCTCTTTCAGACCCAGCAGAGGAAATGGCGGTGAGGCAAAGGCTCTTCAACTCAACAGCACCTTTCTCCGGATCACCCCAAACCGAGCTGAAGGGGTCGTACCCATCATGCTCCACGGCGGAGCAGGAGACGGAGGAGGAAGAGGATGAGGGAAAGGACAGCAAAATGGGCCACACACGAAAATGGGCCACACCCTTAATCAATAAACTCATCTTACATGGAACTGCAGAACAAGTTGGAGAAATGCCGTTCAAGACCTCAACAATTATTGCCCAGGCAGAATGTAAATATATCTTTTTAGTTTTTCTTCTCTAAACTATATCAAATAGCTGCTTGGACAGAATTTAACATTAACGCTGTGATCTGTTTAGGTGAAACCCAGGACTCTCAAGAATTTAGTCCTTCTTGTTCTGAACGATCCTTTGTTCCCTCCCCTAACTGCTTCACCAGGTATGACATTTCCTTGACAACAGTTCCTGCAATTTCACATCAGTTCACTGAGGTTATATTGAATCGTCTAACCATGTTTTGGATTCTTGTTGCTCTAGTCTTTCCTCCGAGCACAACAATGTTGCCTGCCCGACAACAGCTTCTGTCCAGGAGCCGAGCGGCTTATCGGCACAGCTCACACCTAGAAAGAAGACCAGGAGGAGGCAGAAGCGAAAAGGGAAGAAGAAGCTGGAGAAGAGGAAGGAGAGGCAGCGACAGAGACATCGAATGCCCTCTGGAGTCCCTGAACAGGAGAGTGGAAGTTCTCTAGTCCAGATCTTGGTGAGAACTCTGCTCAATCTCTTGCACATGAAAAAGCTTTTGAAACTGGTATTGAGAAGTAGGTTGACATTTAGTGTACTGTATTCTGAAAAGAACTGCGAGTGTTTGTAGTTCTTTCCTTGTGAATCATCTTCAACAATAAATTGCCACATTCCTTGGCAGTCGGTAGACATTTCCATCTAAACACTTGCCTTCCTGTTGTGGAAGTGAAATACTGGATGTTCAGCCCCTGAGAAAATGCACCTGAGTAAGTAAACACCGTGTCCTCTAATCAACTTCTTTATTCCTGTAGGAGGAGTCGTCTCATGGAGGGAGAAGAGACCTCAGCACCTCTTGCTGTAGCAGCATCGAAAGCTCAGACAAGCAGGACCGAAGGCCTTCCCTTTACGGCCGACGGATCTACAGCACAGGCTCCAGCTGCGCTCCTCTCAACTGGCCTGAGCAGGTCTTGGATTCTTTCTCCAGCCTCCGGTCCTATGAGCAGGACAGCAGCTCAGACTCCCACAGCAGTCTGGGGGACTGTTCGCTGGCCCTTGCAGGCCTCAGGGGCAGCGTCAGTCAGGGAGACTCGTGTTACGCAGGACCTTTTTTCAAAGAGGTGGAGAGGGACGCAAAGGAGGAGGAAGATGAGCTCTCAGCAGCTGATTCTGACAGCAACGAGGGGATAATCTTTTACAACGAAGTACGTCCTGCTTTGCTTCAATCTACTTCCTTGATTAAAAATGTGCTTGAACCAAACTAATTTGTTTGTCTTTCTTCCTGACAGAAAATTCAGCCTGTGGACTCTGAATACAAGGAAGGGAGGGAGTATGTCCTCACACAGTTTATCAAGGAAGGCTCCTATGGCGAAGTGCACAGTGCTCAAGATGTCAACACAGGATTCCGATTTGCTGTTAAAAAGGTAATATGGCGCATATTAACCTCTTTCTTCTGCCTCGTTTAAAAGTGCCTTATATGAGAGCTTTTGTTCCATTGCTTTTCTCACAGATTGCCATGAAGAGGTTCAACAGTGAGGAGGTGGGTGCGTGGAGTACCCTCAGATCTCCTCGTGTGGTGAAGCTCTTTGGAGTGATCAGAGAAGGGCCTAATGTAGTCCTCTTGATGGACCACAAATCTGGTAAACAAGCCTCATTTGTTCCTCTTTACACAACAGCACGCATTGTTGGCACGAACAGCTACCGTTGCCGCTGAGGCCTAACAAACACATGCGGCGAATTAAGCACAAACACATGTACAGTAGGTGTCACATGACGACAATAAAGTTCAAGCGTATAGAAAATGCGGATGTGATTCGTGTCGAGAGGTGGAAGTGGGTGGTTCTGGGATGCCTGAAATGACTGTTGAGCCTCCTTTGAAGTGTTACGGTCCAAATTGCACCAAATATCTGTGATGGGAGATCCCTGCCTGATAAACACAGTGACTTACCTCACTCTTTTTTCCTTTGTCATCAAACTTTGGCTTCTTCACAAGCCATAATAACAAGGAACGGTTGAGTCAGATGCTCTGTTTTGGTAAATATTAGCAATGCACAGTCCTTTGTCCTGCTCTGACCTTGCTCGTTGTTTCAGGCTCTCTGGGCCAGCTGATAGTGGAGCGTGGCCGGCTGCCAGAAGACCTCAGTCTTCACTACCATTCTCAGGTCTTAATAGCGCTGGAGTACTTGGTGAAGAAAAAAGTGGTGCATCTAGACATTAAAGGTATGTTGTACAGATGGCCATTTCTTTTCACAAAAATACAAGAGCACATTAGTCAATTATTAATCTAGTTTTATCTGAGGAATTTAAAACACAAATAATGATGGCCAGTAATAAAACTTGCAACTTGTAAAATTTAGTTATTATTGTCAGCGGGTGCAACAGGAAAGAAATGCAGGAAGCAAAGTTAAATACTTTTGGGTGCAAAAACTACATTTTTATCTCTGTGTTGTCTACGACTTAATAATGAGTACATTGCTGTGTCCTTGTAGATATTAGTAATTCTGAAAGTGTTAGTCTTTTTCATATATATATACATATAGTCCACTGCCTCTAAACTCTTAACTGATAAGGCTTAAAAAGTAACAATATCAGATACTGGCAGTTGGCCATAAACACTTTCATGATGAATTTAACCAACAGCAGCTCAAAAGTAATAACAGTGAAACTAAATGTGAGTAAAATTACTTTTAATTCTTATTGTACCAAGTGGAAAGTAAAGACATACAGAGAGAGAGAGTCTAGATTCGATCTTCAGGTGTTGAGAAATTACCACACAGAAGAAGACGGGCTGGGAATTTCCCACAGTGTGACTCACCGCTGCTCTCTACAAACGGCGCATGTGCACAGAATCAAGAGAGCAAGAAAGAAACCGAGGGGGGGGATGGGACAAGGAGCAGGAAGTAGTTAGCGAGAGAACAAGAGAAAGAAAAGTACACGTACAGAAAAAAGACAGAAGGTGAAAATAAAGTGGTGAAAAGTAAACTTTTTAAAAAAGGAAACAGAAAAACAGAACGGGAACCAAGTTGGAGGAAGAACAAAAACCAGACAAAAGCTGACGGGCAAACAAAACATGATTTTTGTGGTACAGCTCAAGCGCCACCTGGTGTCTGTAATGTCTCAAAAAAAACAAGGCAGTAATGCCAGATGTCTTTATGTGCTTATTGTTAGAGTCCAGCAGCTGTCCCTCAGTGACTTCATATTTAACTTTTATTTGAATCCTTTGTCTGTAGACTGTTTTATTCCTATGCAGCTGCCCTGTTTCTAATTATGTCATCCACAACTACACATAAGTGATGGAAATCTGCTATTGAAAGTGCTGGTGCAGTGGATTACTGACTCCACTTGTTTTCCACAGCTGACAATGTGTTGCTGTCGGAGGACGGTAAAGAAACCTTCCTGTGTGACTTCGGACACGCAGAGAGACTCAACAATCAGGGACAGAGCCTCAGTGGGTCCAAAGGTAAAAATGGTGTAACTTAAGACATGCAGCTGAGAAGATGTGTATCCAATTTCGTATCTCAATTCACTGTTTTCTCAATGTAATTCAATGCAGATCTGAAGGGCACAGAGACCCACATGGCCCCCGAGATTGTAAAAGGGGAACCCCGCGGAGCCAAAGCAGATGTGTGGAGCAGCTGCTGTATGTTACTGCACATGCTCAATGGGTGTCAACCTTGGACAAGATACTACACCTGCAGACTTTACCTGAAGGTAAACACACAGACACTACACCCTGCTGCTTCATCACAGAATTTTACTCTTCAGAATATCCTGATAAGGCCTTGACCAAATGATTTTTTTCTGGTGCTTACAGATTGCTAATGAGCCCCCGCCTCTGAGAGAGATCCCACCTGACTGCAGCCCGCTCACAGCGGAAGTTATAAAGGCAGGACTCCAGAAGGATCCAGTCAAGAGATCATCAGCATCTGAGCTCAAGGAAAAAACTGACGCAGCTCTGAGAGAAGGTGACGTAAAGCTGCACTGTATTTTTTTATTGAAGTGGTCATATCAATGCTAGTGATACATCCAAAGGTGAAAGTTCTTGGCAATTAAATTCCATCATAACGGCAGTATAGCAGTCTTTATTGTCATCTCTGTGACTAGTGTACAAATCTAGCAACTTTTATGTACAATATTAGCTGCCAGTGAAAGTGTAGATCATTTTTATCCTCTGAAAAATGTACCTGGTGGCGTATTTCTCAGCCCTGAGTAGTCAGGTGCTGGATGTGACCTGAGAGGTAAAACCCAGGGCAAGAAAATGTCAACACTTTCTGTTTGTCATTAGCTTATTGTTATGGCTGAAGGTGACTCAATGAGTGTATTGTAATTTTTACCAACTCAGACCTTCTCTTATTTGCAATGTGATGATTAAACAGTTAGAGAACAATGCTAAGAAAAACTGCAGAAAAATAATGAACCTCCAAAAGGGGAAAGACTCCCTCCGATACGTCAGTGTTAATATAGTGTGGTTTATATGATTGCAGTTGGAGGACTCAGCAGCCCAGTGAAGGGGCCCTACACAGACCCCCTGTACATTTCCAACAAACCGCCCGACTCCCTGCAACTCATTAACAGCAGCATTGACTTTGAGGATGATCAACGTCAAGAGTCAGTTGAGAAAGTGATCACAGCAGGGAGGAGAACCCAGAAACTGGATGATGATAAGCAGGAGGTGGTGGCCAATTCTAACGAGTCAAAGCAAGGTTCTCCTCTCGGTCCACAAATGCTGATTTCTGAGCCGAACCACAAGAGAGGCAACAAGATCACCACTGAGCTCCATAAACTGGAGCGAGGTGAGGTTTCTGTCAGTGCTCTGCTTATTTTCATGTGTCTAATCTGGCGCATGCTTGAACTTTGCTCACTGTTTTCCTGTTTGTGTGCAGAATTCTACCTGAGCAGTCTGTCCCAGCCGTATTCTCCTCAGATGCAGGAGCAGCTGTTGTCTTGTCTCAGCAGCGACCCGTATTCCAACTGGGAACCATGGGACAAAAAGGTATGCTGAAATACACAGAAGAGCACATCTCTAATTTAACAACTGATAAATGAAGACCTGAGTTGTCAGTTTAGGAATACACTTAGTCTCCTGCTACACCTCAATCCAGAAGGTGGGAATTAAAGACAAAAATGTTTAGGCTTGTTCTGTAAATCCCTATTTTAAAGCCCAGTAACATCATAATGTTTAGTTGTTATCATTTACACCAGCTGTGGACTGAACTTTTGCCAAAGGTTCTTTTTGAAACAAACCAGTTCCAGTAACTGACACAGCTGGTTTCATTAGTTTTGGTTTAGCCATCGGACACAGCCAGAAGGATTTAGTAATCCACTTTATTTATTTGATCAGTTGACCTGCACACAAGATATTCTGAAATTGGAAGCCACTCCTTATGTTCCTCTTCTTTAATTTCATCCCAGGACTCTGGCCGCTGGTCCCTGAGCCCAGGAGACGACTTCAGCTCCGGTGTTTTCTCCTACAACAGTCAGCCAGACGTGCAGGTCTTCAGCATGGATTTGCTGGGTCACGCACAAGTGCCACCACCATGCTGTTTTGAAGGTGGGATGGACGACAGGAACATTTTCTCTTATTCTGAACAATTTTATGTATAACCAAACATCTTCCTCACATCACATGTCTCTCTCCTCTATGACTGGCTCAGGGGTGGATGTCTGCATCCGAGATTTCAGCAGGAGAAGCATCCGAATCAGAGAGGCGCGTCGGGTGAAGGTGGGACACATCGCCACTGGAATCAGCGATCAGGTGAGAGCCGGCAGCAACGCACACTCACGTGTCGAGACAGAATTTCTTGTTTGTCCGTTTTTAGTACAGGCCGAGAAAATAACTGAATTGTTTCCTGTGTAGATCTCTGAGAGAGTGTTCACTCTGGAGACACAGCAGGGCCAGCAGATTGCTCACGATGAGGAGGTGCAGGAGTCCGGTCTGGAGCTCTGCTGTGTTCCTGCTCCAGACTTCAGCCCTGCCTGGAGGTGGAGGATCAGAGACGGGGTGCTGGAGACAAGATAGAGCCCCGCAGCGTCATCCGAACCACTGATCATATTGCCTTTTATTGTGCAGTTTTAAATATGTGTCTTTTATTTGTGCAATTTTACAAGGACCATGATCTATAAAAATTTCTTCTATGCCATTTTCAATAGACATTGTCTTGTTGGAGGAGGGTTACTGTGCAGCTTTAAGTCTTGCAATGTTTGTTTACATGTTGCACTTTTGTCTTGTTTACATTAAAACAATAAACATTTTAAAGAAATGTGCCGATTGTTGCAACAATTCCTTTTGACGTGTTTGTAGCAACATACTGATGAGTAAGTTGACAATCCACACTGTGGAGTTTCCCAATAACATCCTGTGATATCCTTATTTGATATTTCAAGCTCTAAATGTTGCTAGAACATTATTTTATACTGAATTAAAACTATGCCCATAAAAATTAGGTGGTCACATATTTATGCAGTATATCTAGTTAATGATCACTGTTGGCAGAGCCCGAAGGATGGAGATTTTTGTCTATTTGTTTGCAGAACACTTTAGCTCAGAGCAGAAATTTATAACACCCAATGATTTATCACGTCATGGAAGATATCTCTTCATTACTGTTTTGTCTGTCGGCAGCAGTAAAAACTATCAAACTTTCATAGAACTTGGAGGGATGGAGCACTGGAAAAGGAAAATAAATATACATTTTGGTGCAGGTGTGGTTTGGATGGCAGAGTGGACCTTTTTTTGTTTTTCAATTTCCACCATCAGATCAAAATTCCCTAAAATGAAAATCACTATAATGCCTTGGATTGTATGCTGCTCAAAAAAAAATGAAGGCAACACTTAAACCACACATCAGATGTCAATGAACAAAATACTCAAGTTGAAAGTCTTTAATACTAATTCTGTAACTCACTGAGAACAGAATGACGTAAGAACATTCCGTGAAAACCGAAATCGTTAACTCGCTGAGGGGTGTATTCAAAATCACACCAAAAATAAAAGTGAAAAACAGACTGTTCCGACTCACATGAGTTTCATCACAACTCATAACGGGGCTCAGCAGTGTGCACGTCTGTATGCACAACGTCCGGGCGTGCTTCTGATGAGACGTGTTCTCTAGCGACTTCCAATCGAGCTGCACGGTGCTGGGCTGTGAGCACAGGCCTCACTGGAGGAAGTCAGGCCACTCATGCCAGCCTCATGGTGTCACATGCACTTGAGTAGGCCTTTTAAAATCATTCTGTAAGGTTGTGGCAGTGCTCCTCCTTTTCCTCTTGGCACAAAGAAGCAGATACATGTCCTGCTGCTGAGTTAAGGCCTGTCACCTGGTGTCTCCTTAATACTCTTGAAACTGTGCTGAGGGACAGAGCAAATCTTCTGTCTACGGCATGTAGTGGATGTGCCATCCTGGAGGAGCTGGAATTCCTGCGCAACCGTCCTCAGGCTGAAACTTCTGCCTGTGCACAGCAAACATTACACTTATGAAGCACATACCTGCTCCCAGTTAAATATACTGTCTATTTTGGAAACTCTGAATATTACTTTGCATTAAAACCACACACACAACTTTATTATCTGACAACCTGATGGCTGTGAAGATCACTGAGAGCAGTCAGTAAGCTTTTTAAAAACCAAAAGCTGCCTTCTTAGGCAAGAACACAAAATTACATTTATTTCTTTTGCCCCAACATTAATGTACTTTCTTAGAATAGTAGCAAAATATGGATATATATGTGATAAACATGAGCTAGAATTGATATTGGTTTGCATTTGTAAATCTTAAAACAAACACATGAACACCGACATCTTGACTATATAATAAATATTTCAAATAAGTCTAATGAAAGTCTCATTTTTTAATAGTACTGTTGTGAACCTTAAAAAAAAAATCCTTACTGAAAGTGTAATAAATGCAAATCCATAGCTACAGAAAGAATTAAAAGATTTATTTTTCATATTACAACATCCAAGGTCACTGCAAAAAAGATTTTCCAGGAGACTTGAAGCAAATTTCAGCTTTACAAATATGATAGAAAAGGTGAAAACTCCAGAATATCAAAGTGATTTCATTGTGTAAAAAAAAAAAAACCCACCAAGGCACTGACAAACAAGAAAAATGTATAAAAAGCCTTTTGCTGTGTAGATAAGGTTGCAGTCTGAATAACTCACGTAAAAATACAGTACTTTGAGTATGTGTAAAGTGAGGTAAGTGTCTGTGAGCAATCCATAGCTTGCTGTGTCTGCAGCCCTGCTTCTACCATAGACCAAAGGCAAGGTCAGTTCATGACCTGCAGCTCCGTTCAACAACACAAGAAAAAATAAGAGGAAAAATTGATCTTATTGGGAACCACGTTACGATCACAAGGTTGGCCAAAATGCCACAAAATGGCATATGATTGAGAGTTACACAATTTATATTTTCAGTCTGTCGCATTTTTGCTGAGATCATATGACCTCTAGATCATGAGATGATCATGTTACATGTAAACATAACTTTGTACACAAGTCCCTGGTGTGGCACTGTTACTATTCTTTGAAATAAAGCTGAGCTGTTCATTTACAGGAGGGGAGGATTAATTGGGATTGTTTAAATACCATATTTCACAACAGGAGTTTTAAAGTTCTCTTTATAAACCTCATTATCTTGTTTGTTTTCACTGTTTGCCAAAACATCTCTTTAACTTGATAGGACGAGACCACCATCGAACACCCTTATTGCCCACAGATCATTGTAGATTTACACCAGTGAACACTCACAAATACATTTGATTATGGATTTGCTAGCATACAGACACCATCGTGAAATGGATGGAGAGGATGGGAAGATCAGAAAAGCAAGTTGAGTGGAAAAGAACAGAACTACAACTAAAATAACACAGAGGAACTTCTTATTTTAATCAAAACATTTCTGTCAATATATATTTTAGGGCAGAAAACAAAAAAAAAAAAAAACAGAATGCAGTGACTTCTTCTTAAATCTGTACCAAGTAAAAAATAAATTACTTAAAATGCATTCCTTGCTCAGGTCTGACAACTTCTCCACCCTCCCATTTTGTGCACGTAATCATGCACAGCTCCTCAGTGGCACAGGGATCATAGGTACGACAGCGCTTCCAGTCCGACTCCGAATCCTTCCACATGAATGGGAGGCAGAAATGAAGTGGTTCTCCCGCTACAAGTTCTTCCTGTTCAACCTATTCACTCTGCCATAAGTTTTTGCTGTTGCCCTTCAGACGTTTTCTTTATGCTTCAGTTCCTGTTCCCATTTCCCTCAGTCATAGTTCTTTCCATCCTTCTTCTGTCAGCTCTTCACACACCCCTCACATCTTGCGAATGACTAGAACAGTGGTGAGAACGCCTGCCAAGAAAACTCCCACCGTCTGCCATGTGGGGGTGCCGAAGTGGGAACGAATACCCTCCTAAAAATCACAGACAGACATGAATATTAACGAGTGTCTTACAATCAATCATGAGCAGAATCTCCATAACTAATCAATGATGTAAGCTCCCTACCCAGCCACCCTGCTCCCTGATCCAGTTGATCACATGTTCCCGGAGGTAGTCCATGGTCCACGAAATAATGGTTCTGATGATATCAGGAACTTGGGTTAAGAGAGCCTGGGAAGGTGTTGAGAGAAAATCTTTAGATCTTAATTGTTCAATAATCATTCCACAAAGCAGATATGTCTCACTGTTTTGTTTTTGTAATGAAGTGAGGTACAACAGGACTGCTTAACACACCTTAATGACGAGTCGACAGGCAAAGTAGAACAGTGCAACCACTCTGCCCCAGTTGAATTTTCCATCCGAAAAGATCTCAATAGCAACTTTCAAAAACACATCTTTTGTGGGACTGAGTGAAGAGTCATTGATCATCCTAGAAAGACATCACTCAGTGATTAAAGAGAGGGCAATTATACACTTATTACTGTGAAACAAAAACTTGATAATATTTCATTACATCAATTTGGCTCAACACTGACAGCTTGCCTACCTTTGGAGCTCGACATTTCCATCCAGCTCATCTCCAATCTGCTGCAGGCACTGACCAAGCTTCTTGTGTTTTGGGTCACACAGCTCTCCTCCACCCAGCTGTGCTCTTGTCACTACAGTATTGCTGTCTCCATGTCGCCGAACCCGCTCATAGATGAAGCTACACAGGTGGTCACACATAAACATCAATCAGCTGACTATTCAGATATGAAAATAACAATAAAAAACACGCGTGCACAGGATGTACTTACTCCTGTAACAAAACATTTCCTACTTCCAGTAGCTGATCTTTGCCATTTCCTGAAAACAAAGATCAGTGTTAGGTTACCAGTATGCTGATACAACTTGTTTCACAAACACAATTATTTATCTCATATAAGAAGTAAACAAAAGAAATAACTATGGGTTCTATCTGAATATATAACCACATGTTTTCGTACGATGAGTTAGACTGTCCACATTTAAGATAAGCAATAAGTAAACAGTTTATTTTTCATTTTTATGTGGCTTTGATTTGCTTTTGTGCTTCACTTTTTTAAACCATTATGTCTGTATAACCTTTAAAGCAGCCGGCACATAAAATGTAATGTCTTAGCTGTCAGCTAAATTAATTAGCATAAATTAATTTGACTATTTTCGGTAACCGACAGACTTGAACACTTTACGGGAAGTGTTGTATTCTTCTTACACCTTTGGGTAACATATTTGCTAACTCACTGTGCTGTGCGGGTATGTCGGCAGCTAACCAAGCTATCAATATAAACGCACAGTAAGTGCTAGCGAACATAAAGCTAACGTTTAGCAATCTTGCTAAGCTAACCTCAGTCCAGCTAATGTTACTGCTGGCAAATGACCGAGCTACAGCCACAAACCAAGACTTAAAAGTTCAAGTGTCAGATTATCTGTTACTACCAAACTGTTCGCGATACTGTCACAGTCAATTTAATTTTATAATATTTGATGTTAGCTCGTACCTTGGTCGCCTCCTCCCGGGTGTGATGCCATCTTGTTTTCTGTTTAGATCGTTTGGACTTCCGTACAATCATGTGGCAACATTTATTTTTTTGTGTCTACAACCGATGGCGGCGGCGGACATACCAGATCTGGAAATCTTCACTGAGGCTGATGGGACTCATGTGATGTCACAAAGCTGATTCAGAGGATGTTTACTATGTTTTATAGATCTACTCTCCTCGTCACATTATGGACGAGGCTTTGTGGGAGCGTTAACTGTAAAGAAACATTAGGCTTATAAAGGGCGTTACAATTGCAGTTTCATGGATGTATTAGAAAAACCTTTTGTAAAGCAATAAAAAAAAGTAAATATATGTTGATTTTTTTTGTGCCTCGCCCTTTTTTAAACGTAATTTCCGGTGCCTCGGCGTTTTCGGGCCGCCGCGCGCATGCTCAGGCCTCTTTACGACTCGGCAGGCAAAGATGGCGGACGCACAAGTACGTTCAGCAAAACGGCGTGGTGAATTTAAATCGATAAAAATACGGTCATATGAACTTCTCAGGCACCTTATATAAACTATATGCCATTGCGGTTTCCTTGTGCGTCGTCCTGAGCCATTTCAAGACACATTTACTCATGTTTAACTAGCATTTGTTGTTGCCGATTTTACACCCTCGTGTAACGTTGTACTAGCCGGAATGCTAGGTCGGTTAGCGTAGCCTCCTAGTAGCCAACCGTCGTCTTTATTAACATTGTGTTACTTCACATATAACTCCAGCATCCGTGTTTCTCATCCTAGCATTTCCACCAGGATTTACCTGATAATGCGTGTTTTCGTCTAAATAGTCTGCAAATGTCCGTAAGAGGAAGTCAGTTTTGAAGTAGCTAGCGAGGACGAGCGGCCGGTACACGAAGATGTGCACAGTGAGTCTAAAGGAGTTTGTGTTACAAAGACTTACCATGCTGCTGTCTTTGTCTTTCTCCAGACCGAGAGGGCTTATCAGAAACAGCCCACCATCTTCCAGAACAAGAAGCGTGTCTTGGTCGCTGATGGTGGCAAGGAAGCCAAGGAGAAGCTCCCCCGCTACCACAAGAGTGTCGGGCTTGGCTTCAAAACCCCAAGAGAGGTAACTACTCCACTCGAAGATTCTTCAAACTATTGAAGATGACTAAAAGATGTTTTGGTAATTGATTGTAGGCTGCAAATGATGTTTTTCTCACGATGGTCTTCCAAACCTGCAGGGTTCTGACGACAGTGCCTTTTGGCAACACTGATGCAGTTAAAGAGTTATGAATGTGACTTTATGTTTATGTGAAGGGTTATGTATTAATTGACATCAAAAGCATTAACAATCATTGAATTTGTCTCTCCAGGCTATCGATGGCACTTACATTGATAAGAAATGCCCATTCACTGGAAATGTCTCCATCCGTGGACGTATCCTCTCTGGTCAGTATAATACTTGTCAGCAAACTTAAACCACACTTGTTCACAATTTGTTATTTTGCACTTAACTGTAGTTCCAGAATTACAGTACCAAGCCTTGAGAATGCAAGCTATAATGGTTTAATTTCAGCATTAAATGCATCCGTCTGTGTGTAATCATGCCTCACTTTTTCCTCTGCAGTGCAGTTTTTCAAATGAAGTTAAAGCTATTCAAGAGGCTAACTTGCCACAAACTTCATGTTGACTTGTCTTTTTCTTTGTCACTGTCCTACAAATGATGCTTTTTCTCACGATGGTCTTCCAAGTCCTTTGGGCTCTGACGACAATGCCAAATGGCAACACTGATGTAGTTGAGTGACAAAAGTAAAAAGAGCAGTTTCCAAGTCTAGGCTGAGTTCCTTTCGTAATGTTCACAGGAAGCTGTTTTTAACACACAGATTGTAATTCTTTGTCTACATTACAGGTGTGGTGACCAAAATGAAGATGCAGAGAACCATCGTTATCCGACGTGACTACCTGCATTACATCCGCAAGTACAACCGCTTTGAGAAGAGACACAAGAACCTCTCTGTCCATCTGTCACCTTGCTTCAGGTATTACACCTCTCACATGCTGATATTTCAAAGTTTATCCACATGTGTCAAACATAGAACAGTCAAATGATTGTTTTAAATCTCAGATTTAGATAGTTTAACTTAAGTGTGTATGTGAAACGTCTTGGAAATAGTTTTGCCTCTTAATTCAGTGTATGACTTAACAATGTGACTGTTGTAGCTAAAGATGTACAAACAGCAACATAGCTATGCTATCAATCACAGAAATGTAAATTGTCAGTAAATCAGAACCATTCAGTTGTCTTAAAGTCAGTTCATGTGATAATTTTATGTCAGTAAATGTCCCAGATTGCTGCAAATGATGCTTTTTCTCACGATGGTCTTCCAAGCTCAGGAAGCTCTGACGACACTGCCTTTGGCAAACACTGATGCAGCTTTGCTTTATGCCTTCTGCTCAAACGTAACAACATTTTGTCAGCTAGGTTTTGGACAGAGATACATCAACCTCTTACAACATTTCTATGAACTGTGTTTTTCTGCAGAGATGTCACAGTTGGAGACATTGTGACTGTTGGAGAGTGCCGACCACTCAGCAAGACTGTGAGGTTTAATGTCCTCAAGGTGACAAAGGCTGCAGGAGCCAAGAAGCAGTTCCAGAAGTTTTAGGTGTGACCGTGAACAGGAAGGCGGCTGCTGGCTAACTTGTGTCATTGTCAAATAAAGAAAACCTTGTTTAAATAGCCTTTTCTGCTGATTGTTTTTCTCAGTCTACTATGCCAGACTTTGGTTCTGGAGCTAAATGATACATGATTTGTTTTTCAGTATTTTATTTGTGTGCTTTCACTGAATTCCTAGAGTTGAATAAATGGATGTGGTACAGTGCACAAAAGGAAATGGTCTAAAAGGGTGTTATAGATGGACTCATCCATAAAATTGATCAGTTGTTTGCTTCCTCGTGAAACCTTTCTGAATCTAAAATTAGAACGGCTTGTCAGAAGGATAAACCTCTGATGTGACGAGTAATTTTGTTAAGACAGATCATCGGCATCATAAACGTTTTCAAGTGACCGTTTGTCAGAGTTGTCTAACCCAAAAACTGTAGAGCCCTGACATCAAGTTAAAGGCAACATGACAGTGGTGTTGGAGCCCTGTGTTGAGTTAATACGTCGTTTCTTGTTCTCTGAACTATCTCTACCTTTTGGTACTTGCTATACTGGATACGATTGCCATTTTACAAAGTGCAGAATTAGAACATTTTTGTTGAATGTTGTGAATCCCATACTTCCACCCTGACCATAGATTAAGTCTATGACCCTGGCACACCAGATGCATAACTTATGAT